AGTCAGTCCTTTGATCTCTTTTTTTTTTTTTCCCCAACCTTAGTGTTCAGGGGCTGTCGACACTTTGGGTTATATATAAAAAAGTCCTAAAGCGTGGCCAGCTGGTTCCGAGACCTAGTCTGTGGTTTAGTTTGAGGTTTGTAAAACACTTGAAGTATTTAACTCTGAAAAGGATATTTTGTCTGTGACCTGCCTACCTTGAGTTTAAGACGGATTGACCTTACCAACAGTTTCCCACGAGAAACCACCCCTTGACTGGTCATCCTCTTGAAATACAGCAAATTCTTGGCAAAGTCTTTTAATAGCTGCTATAATGTCCTAATGTAATTGCACAAAAACGAGTTGATATCTCAATCAATGTTAAATGTTAATTCCCATTCACGTGTGAAATACAAAAATACATATTTGAAAACTGATAGGACAGTATATATAGTTTGCATGTGCTTCTGCTAGTCTAAGAATATTACACTACACTGTGTCTTGACATTGAGAGATATGTGTTGTTTAATGTGGTGTAAAGTAAGTTGAGCGTCTCATTAAAATAAAATGTATTTTTGTACCTTTAATTGCTATACCATTTAGTCAGTGACTGCATGATGAATTACTTGAAAATATAATTTCATGCTTGTTGGGATGAACACTATTTGTGCTATGAAACATTATTTTGAAGAACTTTTACACATGCTGACTGATAAATATTTTATTAAAATTAAGTAGAACCTCAGGCATCAGACTCTTTATATAATTTGAAATGTCTTTAAGCTTCCTGTTCAGCTTTTGTAATGGATAGAAAGAACTGAATTCACAGTCCTGAAGTGTAGTAGAAACCATTTTCTGACAGTGAGATAACCCTAAATGAAACATGCCATCTGTAAATATTCTTGTTTTGTGGAAGCAAACTTCCCAATCACCCTTGTTAAAAAAAAAAAAGTTCAATAACATTAGGGTTGGACTAAAAAGGCAGTTCTCTATAAGAAAGCACATTTGCAGAGGAATGTAGGAAAAGCCCACAATTAACCACAGATTTGCTCAGAAGTACGGAAATTAGCAAAATGCACATACTCTACCTTAGGAAGACAGAGATTGCTTTGATGCAGGAAAATAACTGTTCTTAACTTTCAAATACCCTTAAGCACCCCTTGATTTTTCGAGTACTTTCGAGTTCTTGTTCAAAGATAAACACATACAGTATATGTTTATATATGTGTATATGTGTGAAGTAATAACTATACTGTACATACAGTATATGTCTATATGCAGTTTCAATGGACCAGAAGTGCCAAACAATTGTACAGAAGATCAGCACCATTTTTGTAACAGGCTGGCCTTTTACTTGCAATAATAAGGTAAGAAAAAAGCAAATGCTGGGGACCATATACTGTAGTCATTCAAGTATCCAAACAATTCATTAAGAAAATGAATTGAAATCAATCTACACAAGACACAAATTTGCCATGGAATGTAAAATTAATATACACTTTGGGGCACCAATAGTTGATAGTTTCCAAGTCATCCCTAAGCAAAACAAATGTGTAACATTAACAAGTGGTTCACTATGCCTGCCATTAGTCAGATCGAGTGAGGAATTTTGCGGTTAATCAGTACTGCTTTGATCTTTGGAAGTCAATTCAAAATCAGGAAATACAGTATTAACAACAGAATCAGAAGTGTATTTTGTGTTTGATAAAATACTTGTTTTGTTTGGTAAACTTAAAGACATTGTTATGTTTCAGGGACTGTGGGCGAGATGATCATCCTGTTAGAACGATTAAGCAAATGTCATCTGGCCTTACAATGTAAAATGAATATGTATTTTCCCATCTAGTTTGAGATTCTTATCTTGGACTATTTACAGAATTCCAGTATTTAAATGGTATACTTTTATACAAATCTACCGTTATTTCCTTTGAATTATAAGCAATGTGGACTCATTTGATATTATAAATACTAAGGCATGAAACTTTGAAACTTCTGTAGGTAAACTGCAGCATTCATTATTTTTAATTGCAAGGATCCAAGAGCACATGATGAAATAGTGCCATCTAGGGATAGACACTGGAAAAGATCCTCTTATGAACCTGGAATGCATTATTTCTAGGTTTTCTACTTAAGTGTTAGTTTCATTTCAAACTAAGTCTTTAGTTTCATTTGTGCTTTAAAATCTAAATGCATGAGAATTTGAGAGATATATGGCGTACTCCAGTCTTTTTATACTATGGACCAACAAGCGAGAAAAACCATCATAGAATAAGTTACTGAATTTGAAATGTCATGTCATTTGCCAAACCGCGAGACCGGAGTCTAGCTGACAAGCAGTGAGCGCAAGGCAGGGTCACCCTGGACAGGGCACTAGTCCATCGCAGGGCAAGTGCAAGCCAGTCATCCATGAAGACAAATTGGAGGCCACAGTATAGGCCGAGGGTGAAAATTTGGCCCGGACACTGGGATATTAATTAATTGCTTACACTTATAAAGCGCTTTTCTGGACACTCCACTTAAAGCGCTTTACAGGTAATGGGGACTCCCCTCCACACCCACCAATGTGCAGCCCCACCTGGATGATGCACCAGAACGCTCACCACACATCAGCTATCAGTGGGGAGGAGAGCAGAGTAATGTAGCCAATTCATAGAGGGGGATTATTAGGAGGCCATAATGAGTAAAGGCTATGGGAAATTTGGCCAGGACGCCGGGGTTACACCCCTGCTCTTTCCGAGAAATGCCCAGGGATTTTTAATGGCCACAGAGAGTCAGGACATCGGTTTTACATCTTATTCAAAGGATTGCGGGGTAGTTTATTGGATACTCCTAATTGTGACCACAAGCAGGTACGCACACTTTGCTGAAAGCCAATATTTTTATTGGCCAGCCCGTGCAAGTTGATATGAGCATATTGGTGTACTGACATCAACTGCTTAATCATCACCTGATAATAAACCCTCAACATGCAAATGGCAAAAAAGGACTATAAATCAAATCTTCATCCTGTCCTTCAATCATTTGCCTCTGGCAGGTGGAAAGTTTTAATTTAACCACATCTACTCTTATCTATCAAGACACGGTTACTGTAGATATTCAGAAGTTACAAAAGAAAGCTTATCTTAAAAATATATTCTTAAAAGAATGTGAAGTTTTTTACTTTTCTGAGATTTTTTATGCTCCTTTTACAGTTCTTCCAGTAAGTATTTATTTGATTGCATATGCAGTGCAACTAGATATTATCTGGTGTATCTTAAAAGAATTTCTGGAAAACAGATTACTGTAGGTACAGCCATATTTTGTGGAAAATAGTTTTATTAAAAAAAGAGGTCAGAAGTCTTTTCAGAGGGCCCAAGACCTGAAACCTATGAGAAAAATAACCCACACACAGACAAAATGACACACATAAATGACAAAACTGGAGCTCAGCTCTAAAGCCCACTGTGCTCTGACTCATGAAAGTGTTTTGGAGTGCAGCACTTCATCATAAAAAAGCTTTCTGAAATGAAATTGCAGGAAATTTGGGTAATTTTACCCATTACGTAACTTTCATTTCCACTCTACTTTCAAATTTTCTTAATTATTCCATCTCCTTTGTTTCCATGTCACCTTTGGCAATGACATTACAAAAAAAGCAGCATTATTATTTCTGCTGCTCTTTTATGTGAAAATTGTTTGAGTCATTAAAGCTTTTCTTCACCTCTTGGTCGATCTGGCCACACATCAACAACTGCTGCTGCTTTAGTTTTCCTGCAGCTGAAACCCATTCAGAGCCCAACTAGTAACATCAAACGTACTGTATAAAAGGGGTTAAAGCTTTTATCCAAAATACACTTAAAGGAAAGGGAGACATTAGCAGAATTAGCAGGATATTCACTGATCAAACAAAACATTATTATGGGTTTGTTTCTTCCAAATTGTTTATAGCTTTTAGTTCACAGCTGGTAAAAACTAATGAATGAAACACAATGGATTTAAACACAATGTGCAGAGAAATCAAGTATCGTGAGCATCATGAGTACTAGTTAACTCAGATAAAAGATTACAGGTTATCAAGACGTAGGTCTGCTTTAGTTTGTGCTAAAAGTATCTTCTTTTTGGTTTCTAAATCTAAAATAAAACAAAATTGACTCTAGATGTATTGCAGATATAGATATGATTGTTTGACAATATCGGATCAGTTATGCTGGGCCAATACTTTCCTGGTGAACCACACAAATAACAACAATGAAGCAAAACAGTTTTTGCATTAAGAAGCTTATTAATTTTAAGTTATAATATCACACTGTTCCATAAGCCTTAAACAACTATCATAACTGTTTCTTAAATCTTAAACCTCAAACTCTTTTGTTTTTAAGCTGTTCCAAGGCTCTTTAAAATGTCTTTTGGTTTCTAAAAAAAAACATTCTAATGAGAGAAATTTCAGGAGAGTCACAGTTACAGGGATGTTTAAGTTTTTAGACTACACACAAATATGTAAAGAGTGGAAATGTAGTTTATCACAGGCTTAGGTCTCCGACAAAACTTACAATTAAGCGGTCTATTGAAGTCAAAATCTGTAGGGCAGTTCACAGTTCACAGAATTCTTAGGGCTATGGAAACAGTTCGCAGAATTCTTAATCAGACGCTTACATTATACTGTGCATAAGGTTCTGTCACTGCCCCCAAGAGAACTGGCGCGTAGTAAAACAGAACGCAAACCACATAGACACAGGTCAGTTTGGCAACAACATTTATTTTTATTTTCTCAAAAGGACAAACAAAAAAATCCAGAAAATCAGATTACAATATTGTTTTAAATGCTTGCTCATATGTTTCCATTTTTAAAAGAAGCTTTTTCAGGTTCTCTTTATTTTTGCCCTAAATGACAAATGTTTAATTAACATTTGTTAATGCAATATTGGTTGTCCCAACCGTAATATTGTAATATTCTGTTTAACTCATCTCCTTGGCATGACATTAAACCCTGCGTGGGACGCTGACTCCAGTCAGGAAAGGTTCTTGTGCTTTTTTTTGTGTAATGCACAAATGGATTTTTGCAACCTATAAGCAATCCTAAAGCCTAAGGAAGAAAAGACATGTTTCTGCTTCCAGTCTTTATGGGCTGTTTTTACTAAAATAGGCAATGGTTTTAGAGTAAAGAGAGAAAAGGGATACCATTCTGCACCCTAGTTTCAAGGGTGTGGCTGAGAGTCAGGGAAATTCCTGATGTACAAGTTATTGATGCACTAACTTAATGCCTTGCAATTTTTGTTTTTATCCAAGGGAAACAGATCATGGAACCATATTATATTAGACCTTGTATTTGAAGCAGAAAAAATAGATAGCATTCATGCAGGTGTGCGATGAATGTTTCACACAATAAGGAACCTACTGTATATGCGAGCAAAAAAAATACATTTTAGTAATAGATGTTTTAATTGGTAAGAAATATGATGGGTAATGGTTTTAATGTTAATGCATTTTATAAATTCATCAAAACGTCATAAAAAAATCACAACCAGACTCCCAGTTGCCTTTTTTAAAAACAAAAATTGAACAAAACAATTTCCTTTTACAGACAGGTCTTGACACAGGTCCATTGTGGATCGACAACCTGCTCTACTATGGTAAGAGCTGATGCCAACAGCAGAGCAGCAAGGTGATCACTTTCACTAGAGGCTGAAGCTCCGACACATTCAAATATTTACCGCGCACGTTTTGCACATCAGTACAACAACCACAGGCACTGCACACACGTAGCTATCGTTACGCCAAGACCCTAAAGTACACAGCCTCAGTTTGAGGAGAACGAGACTGCACTGGCAATTGTTACTAAGGCAACACAGTTACGGACACAAAAACAATTTTCTGCGCATGGCACATCAAGTAACTCACGGGCACAATAAGAACACAGGGCTCATTTCTAAATTGATTTTGCATAATTTCAAACATATAACACTGTCCTAAGGATATACCCTATATACTCGTTTACCATGCAAAACTGTGGATGAATACCAATCCCAATAAACTCCCCTTTTTTGCATATAAAACCAGTCCCTGAAAGCACACTACATGAGATAAAATAAGCCATTGAATTTACCATTTCAGGTATTTGATCACATGCTAAAAAGCAATTATATACGTACTATAAACTTACTGTGTATAAATAATGATTTCCAGATAATAAGTAGCTGTGTGTCACAAATCATAATACTATTTTTCAATATGCAATACTTTATATACATAAAGGTAATTGCTTGGATTGTTTCTCATCAAGCTCTTGTGCAAATAAATCAAAGCACTTTTTATTTACAGCTGATACTCAGAAGCAGACAGACACTTCATCAACATTATTATGACTTAATTGTGCTTTTTAATTTTTACATCTATGTACTTTTGTGGGATTAGCTGAGTTCTACTATCACTAATCTAATTCACCTGGAGTGCTATATTGTTCTCCCTGTTGTAGTGCAAGTGAATTCAGAGCTTCTGAAAGATGAAGGACAAAGGCTCTGAGTGAGGCACAATGCCAATAAGACTTACAACACATTCCTCTTGTAGCTCTGAAAAAAATGCTTCTTCAACATCTTACAAGTCCCTTTCCTGGAATCCTAAAGACCCTCATTCTGATAGTTTTTCACATACTGTATAATGCAATATGTCCATAAAGTGAACATGTGTCTATCAGCTATCAAGCTGTGAACCAGAAGATTCATATAATTATATCATCTTCTGTTAATCAATATGGAACTGAAAATACAGTATAAGGTTTACCACTCTTTTGTAAGAGGTACCAATTCAAATGTTGAATGTTTTTACATAAAAGTTACAGATTAACAAGATACTAAAAAGGCATAAATATAGAGTATATTTCTAAGGGACATAGACTTTGGTCCTTTAAATGAAAAATTGTATTAACTTTGACTTTTACTATCTGCTTTAATGTGGGTTACTACAATTATCAATTGTAGTGAATTACAATTAATAGTCTTCAATCATTTCTGAAATTTGTGTGTATTAAATTTGAAGTACTGTAATTTCCAATGCACTCTTCAGCTTGCGATACCCCTTGCCTATTCATTAATATTAATTCGATCCAGACACTTTAATGCTGCTAGCTGCACCACCCTAGAGCAAAATATCTCTGCATCAATATCACTCGATGAAGAAATGAATGAAGGAAACATCGAATTATCTAATCTAGGTCTGGAAGGCAGACACAAGCCATCTAACAGTGCTTTGGACACCCAAAATACGATACAGAGACATTTATAGACACATATACAGGACAGCTTCAGAGGAAAGAATAAAGCACTGGTACATTCACTACAAGCATTTCATTTGTCTAATGAGATTTTGTCAATGGGGTCTATAAGTCTTGTCCCAGCCGCTCAATTTCCTCAATGAGGAAGTCAATGTCGTCGAAAGTGGCTGCGGGGTTCGAGATGACCATTCGGAAAAAGTTGACCTTTTCCCCTTGCGGTTGGTAACTCACCATAGTCGTCCCATACTCCATCATCCGTGCCTTGATTACTGGGGCAACCTGCCAGGGAAAAAATGCAAAAGCTTTTTCAGCGCCCCGTCATTTATTTGCTCAAAACAACATCTTACTAAAAATATAAAGGTCTAGAGGTCAAATAAATCCTGCAGATAAAACAAAATAAATCAGTATGCAGATGTAAGGAATCTCAAACCGACTAGCAAATGTGTCAATTCATCACTGTACACAGTGCAGTGACAAGGATTACATATGGACAGTATGATCCTTAACATTAAACTAAATGCATTGATGAGTAAAAAAAATAAAGTTATGTATGCTGTATGTAAAATTTAATCTGATACTGTAGCATAAATAATCATAATGTAATCTAAAAATGTTTTTTTAACTCAATGTAAAAGTCAATTGATCTAATAAAACCAAGAATAAAACTAAATTATACATTAAAAGATATAGTAAAGAAAGACAGATTTTAAAAATGTTGATCATCTTCCAGTTTCTAATGGATTTAGGCAGTGAGTTTCACAGACAAGGATCTACAATTCCACTCTAAATTTCACAGGGAGTCATTGCAATTTACAGAGGACTAAGGATTAAGTGTTGTTTTGTTCTAGTTAGCACATGAGCTGCAGAATTCTGGACGTACTGAAGCCTGTTCAGCTGCTAAGTAAGTTAGGTATATTATAGTGGTCTATAAAGACACGTATCAATATTTTAGCTTTAAATTGACAGAATTAACATTAAAATTATGTTTGTAAAGGAGAAATTAGTTTGCACCTAGTTCAGATTGCTAGCTGGATGACAAAAGTCATCTTGGTTTTAACTTTGTTGTTTCTGTTGTTATTATTATCCCATCCAGGAAATTTACTAAATTACAGTTGGAAAAAATGATCGGCGCAGTATATGTATCAATTTTAGATATAATTAAGCCGCTGTTGTTCATAGCCAAACTTCTGATTATAGGATTGTCTTGATAACCTTATTGTAAATGAAAATATATGTCCAATGTAGAAAAAAGTTGGTCATAGAAAAAAAACAAGAACTTTAAAGTCCAAAATTTACATTTGTTTTCCAGTTTCAGCCTAATGAAAAGCTGATGGTCTTGTTTAACAATCTCACTGAGTTTATTAAATGATTTCATTTTTTCACCGGAGTGAGTTTTTTTAAGACTTTATCTTGATGCACAAATAGTATTTTCTGCAGGGGAGTAATTCTTAACGGATAGAATAGGCGGCAGTTGTGATAACTGACTGTAGCAGGTCATAAGAGTTCATCTCAGCACGGCAAAGCTAGTTTTTTTACACAGGAACTAAAATAATGTAATTTATTTTTTGCTGAATTCAATACCTTGGAGCCTTGTACGAGACCAAATAGAATATTTCTTTTGATTTTTGGAGATAGATTCAATTGTTCCTTAGAGGAGTTCTTGTGAGTGACACTATGTCACAGTAGCTAATTATACTGTCAGTCTCACCCAAGTGTGTCTTTCTCTGTTACATGTTCTACTTGAATATGTTTCAGTGTGGTTTGAGACTGTTGACTTTATGGCTCCAAGCTAAAGTCATTGGGACACAACAGGGTATAGAGCAACTTGGTAACAAAATCTCAGGACATTTTCACTAGAAACAACTGTAAGATTAACGAATGTACTAATGTACAAGAGAAGGAATTCAAGGTCTGGGATTTGTAAAGTGATTTTCACCTTATAGTAAGAATGTAGCAATCGATGTGTCCTTGATAATGTGAACCTGGTCTTTCAAGTAAAGTAAATTTACTTACAGATTTATTTATTTGTTCATCTGTTTTAAGCGGACAAAACTCAAGTAATAAAACTTGATTTTTTTCCCATTTTTTTATTTATCACCATATTGAACTGATATTGTAACCTCATATTACCTGTTTTTTATTCTGACAAATAAAGCAATTAAAATTAAAATTAAGTGGATTGTTCCATTGTACTTAAGCCCATGCTCTTTTGTTGTTTTATGGCATAACAAACCAAATACTGTTATATGTCATATATGATAAGGCACTGTAGAGCACATACCGTAAGATTTTACCTGCTTTTAATTTTAAGATGCTTGTATTTGATGGATGGGAAAAACAGTTATGTCTTATGGTTTGTAAAATATTTCCATTCTGGCACAGATAATATTTTTCTTCTCAAAGATCTCAATCGACAGCAGGAATACAATCTGCTTACGTATCAAAGGGGATACACAGATTTATGGAATTAATAACACATAAATTATATGGTTAATAGTTGGTATTTTTACATTCACATAGTGTCCTCAAATAATGAATAAATTCCTGAACCATAACAAGGTGTTTAGAGAAATAAAGCATGAAAATACGTATTTTACGAAAAGGAAAATATTGCATTGCTAAGATGAATGTTACAAATGTGGGCCTTTTCTGTATTTAAATCATTTTCAGAAAAGCATAAATACTTAATTAATTGATAGTAACTCAACTTGATTTGGGGTGGTTTATTTACAGGATTTCTCACATATTTACCTTTAAAAGTGTATTTAGAATTAAAGTGGGGGAAAAACCTTGTTTTCATCCTTATGGCATTCATCTCATAAAGCAAACCTGTGCATGCTGTCATCAAATACCTGTCATTTGTAGTAACTGCAAATGGTGCATGTACAATATGATCATTTTCAGTGTATTCATTGGCATGTGCAAAGAATAGACTCTCATTATGTTAATAAAGTCTGTTCAGATGAGTTTGGATTGCTATCATTTCAGAAAAGAGGAAATTGAAGCTCATTGTGCAATCAGCACATTGCCACACATACTAAACAGTACAGAAGGTGAGCAATTACAATGACCATTTTTAATTACAGAGTATTTATTTTGCGAAAGGATAACTGGTGTTCTGGATAGTAGCAAGGAGAGATAAGCCTTTGCCCCAAAGCATTACTTTAATAAAAGATTGAAGATATCACAGAAACAAACGCCTTGTTCAGTGTCCTTGTCATACTCCAGTTCTACAGAGTTGTGTCTCTACAGACTGAAACACATGAAGTGCAGCACTCAAACAACGCAGGAATTTGTAAGTTTCCCTCTCAATCACCTTGTTCAAACTCTGTACTCAAGATTTTTTTTTAACTGAAGGACTTTTTTCGAGATGCATTACACAAAGTTATTTCTGCACTGCTTCACTGCTTATTTGTTTCAGGAAATAGGAAGGAGGGCTATTCTACCTCCATATACTGTATTGCCAAGTAATTAAAAATACTGTATACACATGTAGAAAATGCTTCAGAAAAACTCTGGTATTTCTGAAGCATTCGGAATATCGTTTAATCACTGTCATTGCTTTTACAAAATCATTTTAGGATTCTACAGAGCTGACATTCAAAAAATTGAAGTTTTATAGAAGGGGTTGATTTAAATGGACTATACAAAGAAGGACATGATTTAGGTTACAACTGGATCTGTTTTATTGCTGTTACATTATCATTGTTCTCTTCTTTGTATTTATTGTGTCATTTCGATGTCTTAAAGAACGTAGCCATGTTCTGGACTAAAAGTCAGTATTGAATTGTTGTACCGGATTGTAAAACACTCTTTTCTAGTTTCCTGCCTGAAAAGAAAGCACTGGCTCATCGAGAAGAAAAAGCCGGCTCTTTGTATGACTGGCACGCATTCTGTCTCTCTGTGCTAATTGCTGATTACAGCCGCCTGCTGCTCCGGGCATCTACATGTATAAATGGTTGCCCATATCTCATTGTTGTATTCTACACTGTGCTTTTTTTGATACCCTGGATTTTATTTGTATCCTTTGCTAAAAAATAAAAGAAATCTGCATGCATGCTTGGGAGGGAGGTGTTGGGTAAGGGGTGGCTCTATATTGTTATTGAGCTCAAGTATGATTGTACAAAATAGGCAGATTAATCTCCCACCTTATGCAAGCGCCTCATCCTCTCCTCTTTGTCCTCCACATAGCGAAGGCCAGGCGGAAGATACCAGAAGCAGACATTGGTGTGCTGAGGCTGGAGAGAGTGGCAGAAATGCAGTTCACTAAACCACAGTCAGTTATACACTACTCATTACATTTTGTAGACATGTGGCACATCCTCCTTTGACCCTTTGAAATCAGTCAGCTTTATCTTAACAATACACTAAAATAAAGCCATACTGACATGATTCAGTATTTATGTGAAGGGACAGGTAACGGTTCATTCCACGCTGAAAAGAAAAGAAAAGAGGCACAACATTTTGGCTATGGAGCCTCCTTCAGCTTCAGATGAAAACATACCAACTGTATCATAAACAGGCATTTGACCAGGAGCACCAAGGAAATGAAGGGCTGTGTTCTCCAAGAAAAAAGTACGAAACTTGGTGTATTTCAGATTGCTGAACTATTTTTAGAAAGAAAAAGCTCTCCTGGCAGTATAATTGTCCAGGTAGCTGAGCTTCCACGAGCTGTTGATTCCAGCCTACCAGGGCCATTTTAATGGCAGGTCTGCTGCCAAGTTGTTAATTGTAATAATTATAGGTTGCTATCTGGGGATGCATAAGATTCACCAGCATCTAGCTAAGCTTTGGCTTTGAATTCTGCTCTCCGCACAGCTGGCTGAGCTGCTTGAGCTTCCAGGGGGCTTTGTTTCTCTCTCTGGTTGGAGTTCCTATCTGTTCTTTTCACACCACACCCGAAATGCTGTTATTCCAAATCCGTTGCGACTTTAAACTGTAGATACTATACTGTTATTCAGAAGTTTCCATGCAGGCGTGCATGCTTCTGCTACCCATTTCTGAAATCACCAACATATTTTCTTGATATACCTGATTGAAGGTTTTTGTGAATGCGTATAGTAAATTTGTACCAATGTCTTCCGTATATATCAGTATATAGGTGCAAATTGAACATACTGGTACAAATTGTTTATACTGTACATAATCACAAGAAACCTAAATCAAATATGTCTAGAAAATCTTTTGGCGATTTCTAAAATGTGGAACAGAAACCGCAGGATAACTCTTTGGGAGCTAATCTTTTGCACCAGGATGCGTATTGGTGAACTTAGCGACAAGGAAAAACATACAAACTAATTCCCTTGTTCCTGACACCTACTAGCACAAATAAAATGAAACAAAATAAAAGGGAGCTTTCTCAGCACTTGAACTGATCAATAGAGGTTTGATGGCCCTCAACAAATGGCAACTCTTGAGAGGAGAACCCTTGAAATGAAATATTTATTATGGGGGAAAAAAAGCCAATTTGTCACTCAGGGTGGATGAACGACATATAGACAATATTTAAAATCTTTCACCCCATCCTGAAAATGGCTTAAGTGTACCTAATTTGGAAAAAAACATTAATTTTGATAGTACCATATTTGCCAAACAAAAGAAGCACCCTGGGAAATATAAACTTTTCAAATAATGTTAGTAACATAGCTGTACAATTTTACTGTCCTGGATCATATCTCATGCAACCGATTCAAATAAATCATTGTAAATGCACAAAATGAAAATGTGTAAAATCAGTTTATTTTCTCATTGTTATTTGCAAGGTGTTCTTTTGTTAGCATCGTTTATCATTAACATTAACTATTATTTGTAAATGGCAGGCAAACCTTTTGGTAGGGCTGTCATTAGCTCTCTCTCTCACAGTTCACATATGACACTAAATGGGAAACTGACAACAATTGTATTTCAGTTTGAACATTTCTGAAATTGTGTTATTAAAAGAAAGTGTGTTGGTGAGCTTCCTGTTAGGACAGAGTATTTCATTTTGTCTGGTCTTGTGGTCATTGTTGTTGTTTGCAAGACAAATATTTATGTCCTTTTGTGTTTTGTAGTATTGTGCCTATCGATGAGCACCACAATGTATGCATGTGTTATGCATTTGTCAGTTAAGTAACACTCCAACTTTCTTTTTCTCTTTATATTTGACTACACATCAGCAATACAATATATCCAATAAAATAAACTATTATTTATTATTCATCAACTGAACAAGGAAATACCAACAACGTTAATGTTAATGTTGAACTATTCAGTTTTACATTTACTCTAATACATATCCCTATTTTATGGGTGGAATCAAATGTGCTGAATTCAACAGCTCAGAAGCTGTCAGGTTTTGTGACATTGATAAGCTTAAGACATTTTTACCAACTTTTATTTTAAACCAAAATATAAAACATATACTTAGCACCCCCCCCTCCAACTTGCCCCTGAATCTGCTCTGAACGCACTCCAAAATAAAAAAATCAGATAATCAAAAATAATATAAATAAAAGAAAATGGAGAAAGAATGTTAGCTTTTCTGTAAGAAATACGTTCATACTTTCAGTCTCCCAAAGAGGAAGTCTAAAACACTGTGTGGAACTAGACTCTACATAACAAAGTCAATTTTCTAATAATGCCCCGAGTATCACATACAGTATATTTTATACACCTAAAGTATAAAAAAACAACCTAAAAACTTTCAAACTTTCCTTCACCTAAACAACAGTGGTTACTCCTTAACTATTAACACCTGCATGAAGGAAATCACAGCTAAACAGGAATTTGCAGAGGGTAAGGCAAAACATTGAATGACAGAAATGTAAAAACGTAACTTACCTTTCCATCAAAAACCATCTCATAACCATCCCTGTTCTTTATTTTGTTATAAAGGTATTCCGAAAGCTCCAGGCATTTGTCAATTTGAGCCTCAAACCCTACGGTTCCCTGACATGAGGAAAAAAGAACAGATGCATTAAGAATTATTTCTCAACTGTTGTGGCAGATTATTATTTCAAATTACATTGAGTAATTCACTGGTGTAGTCACCTCAGCAGTCTCTACAAACACACACATGGTTTTGAATAAAACATGCTACTGTACATTCAATGCATTAATCTACTTGTACATCAAGCTGCAACTCTACTGATTTTGTTTTATTGACAGGTAAGAACATATTTAATGGATTTACAGTTTGTGTGAAGAAATAATTTTAATGTGCTTCATTTCTCGAAAGAACTTGCCCCCACTTGAGCCATTTTCAGATTTTTTCAAGTTTGCTTTTACCTGCAACTTATACAGTACGATCGTTTGAAAAGTGTTGTTTCTAAAAAAAATGTAGCTTACTACCAGGAGCATCAAAATGAGTAGGGCAGAGGAGATCTATGCTTGAAAGGCAGTACAACAGCACGCCTCATAAAAACATTATATTTAACAAAATTCAAATTTGCACACCCCTCCTCCCACCCCAACTTCACCCTTGCAGCTGCCTTCCTGGTTCATTTCTTGTAAGCGAAGGGTATTGTGACATTTATATTGGCTTCATTTCTATTAGAATTTGACAACATTTCTGAAGTCACGTCAAGTAGTGGAATTTTGCAAAGTTAAAACACAGTGAAGTTTTTATTCAAGTAACTTGTAACCATGGTGGATTACTTCTCGAAAGTACTGTTAAGTCTCCCAAAGTGACATCTCACAGATCAACCTTACAGGACTTGTTCCAAGAACTGTTTAAAGAGAGACTTAGATGACTGCACAAACAAAAAGACATACAGTGCACTGCAAAAGTATTTGGACCCTTTTAACGGTGTGCAATTTTATGAAATGCGTGTGCAGACATTTTTGTTGTTGTTAATATTTGATTTAATACCTGAATTCTATAACTGAAGATTCCTAAGGGTAAGATAAGTTACCATACATATCAGGAACACCTAAAGAGAAAATACAAATGAAATAGTTGACTTAGGTAATATTCAGACCTGTGAAGTCAACATTTGGCATCTGCACCACTGGCAGCAATTACAGCCAGAAGCCAACCTTTCACACCCGGTGCAGTTTTTGTCTTTTCTTCTTAGCAGATTGGCTCAAGCTCTCTCAGGTTTCTTGGGGATAGTTTGCTTTCACATTCTAAAGCTACCCTGTTGGTTGAGCCTCGTGCTTTGGATTATTGTCCTTCTGAAACAGAAACCTTCACCTGTTTTAAGCCTTTAGCAGCTGGGAACATTCGTTTCTCAAGCACTTTGTTCCATCTGTGTTTTCTTCAGATTTTGCAGATCACTCGGGTACATTGCTGTAAACTCCATGGGTGCTGAGAGAGGGGTTTTCCACTCTGCCAGGCTGGCATAATGGAGTGACTAAGACATAGCTGGCTCATACGTGCTTCCTCTCATCTCAGCCATTGAGTTCTGTAGCTCTTTTGAAGCCGTCGTTGGCCACGCTGTGGCATCCCTGACCAGCGTCCTCCTTGCCTGCCTGCTCATTTCGGAGAGGAGTTTCTCTGGTGGCATGATGCACCTTGAATTTCACGATGGTAGAGTAGCCTGTGCTCGCAGGGATATTCAGAGGCTTTTCATCTTTTTTGTACCCCTCTGCCGATTTGTGCTTTTCAATGACTTTACCCCTGACTTGCTTTGAAATCTCCTTATTCTTCATGGTTGAATCTTGGCTTGAAATTCAGTACCTGATCTTGGAATTTCACAGCAACTGGTGTTTTTCTTCTGAAATTATGAGAACCACTATTATAGCCTGCAGGCAGAGTTCACTCAGCTGCTTGTGTGGCTTGCTAATAAGTTCATTTTGTGCACCTACATTCATTTCAGTTTGTCACAGTACAGGGTTTGCATATTGATGTAACCTTGGCTGTTTTGCTACATTTTGTTTTGAACGTGTGGCGAAGGTTGCGTCTATAAAAATATTAATTCAAAGTGTCATGAACACAAGCTTTAAAGCAACAGCGTGTAAAAACAATGCAAGGCTCTGAAAACTCTTTCATGACGCTGTATATAAATAAGAAAGGAAACTGAGATGTAACCACCAGTGTTTGAACTGTTGCTGCTTAAAACACAAACACTGAAGCAGTGTGAAGTGCATTGCTGCCTGTTTGCATTGTCACACTGGGAATGCATTTAGCCTGGCTTCCCACTGCCAAACAGCAGTAATCACTCCTAACGTTTGTCGATCTCGACTGATTTTCATTGAACTGGACTGTCAGATAGAGGAAAAAGCCATGATGTTTCCTTAAGGCAAGACAGTCCCACAATCTCACAATAGAGAACAAGCTTAGAAAACAAACAGAATGTTTAGATTTATCAAAGCCTAATGTCCTGTGATGTACTTCATACATTGCTGCACAATTAGCAATGTCCTGTGTACTCTATACTAATGGAACAGAGTGGTTTGTTTAATGTACTGTAATACAGTATGTGCAAAGACAAAACTATTAAAATATTTAGGATCTCTTAGTTAGATGTTATCCTTGCACCCAATGTGTATTTGCATTTCAAATGCAAAGCATTAATGGTGACATGAAAGTGCTTGAGATAGAGGGTCCTGGAATTATCGGTACACCTGTGTGTTTTTTAATATTCTAAAACGGTATTATCTGTGCTGGAAATGAAAGCGAATTCAAGACTCTTCTTGAACTGATCATTTAGAGCACTCTCCAAACCTGTCTGACCAACTGAACAAGTAGAGGTCGATTCCACACTAAAAAGTGAAAAGACAGAAGTAATGCACAACATTTTGGATCTGAGAGCTTTTCAGTTGTGACACAGTCATAGTCTGTGTGGGAATTTATTTTGGGATTCTAATCCTTTTACAGTATATTAGACCTCTACCTACCTTCGCCCTCCACATCAGCCACAGCTTAAAAATGTCAACATGGCGGCCACACTGCAGTGCCTTATCGCCCGTGTCGTAGGACAGATCATAGTGCTTGTCTTGCTGAAAGAGGTAGCAGGCGTGCATCTGGTTACAGCGCTGCATCAGTCCCTGTAGATAGGAGAGAAAAGGGAGCTGTTGAAGCTGCCTTTGTTCGTCAGGAGTCCAGCAACATTAACATGTTTGTCAAAATTGTATTATTTAGCTGTATATATTTGGAGCATATTCCTTCTGACAATTGACAATTCTCTTATGAAAACACAAAATGTCTGAGGTAACAATATAAACTACAGTACAAGTCACATTTTTGTTATACACGCAAAGATGGATTAATTTTGTAGGAATTGGTGGTCTTTGCAAAAAATAAACACATTTTGTATTGTTTTGTTATTGTGTTATTTAAAACAAAAAAGAAACAGTTACCTCTTCTCTGACTAATAGGGCAGAGCATTGCAATGGAACAGACATCATCTTGTGAGGGTTCCATGTCACAGAATTGGCCCTAACAAAGTAAATGTGAAAAAAACAACAACATTTGAAATAATAGTAACACATTTTGGGATGTAGAAAAACAAAGACAATTTGAGATTTGAAAAAATAAAGGGAACCATTAAAAACTATGAAGAAATTGGTGTGAGCACAAAAAAAGAAATTCAAACTTCACCATACAGATTCGTTTTATGAATCTTGCAAAGAATGGTATTTATTTTCTTTAACTAGCGTGGCTGCTCGTGGTGCTTTTCATTGACCGTTAGACAAAGGACATTCAACAAAAAGGCAAACTTCTACATTTGTTTAGACCAGTTTTAATTCTGTCCTTACCATCATGCTATTCCTATTCCCTTACTAAAATAAATTAGGATTTGCATTATATTTTAAACAATGCCATGGCCTTTATAAACAGGAAGCTCTGACATCTGCAAGTGGCTGTAAATAATACCCTTAGATACCACATCAATGAGCAACACATGTTAAAGAGGTGAATTTACCCATTCCTTTCTCTAAGGAAATGATGGCCATAGGGCATAGCTCACGCATACCACAAGTGAGAGAGAAGCACAGGAGCATAAAGAGTATATTTGATGGAATCACCTTTACAAAACAATGTTCATTTAAACACAGGTCTTTATTGACACACTGCAGGACAGTATACTTTATAAAATAAATCTGAGGAGAAATCTTCGAAAGCTTTGACTTCTGTTTTTCCACACTGCTAGAGAACTTATGTAAACATTAAAAGCTGTCTGTATTGGATGCTACACTTTTAATTTTTAAAAACGGCATTTCACGGTGTAGAGAGGTTCTTCAGTCGCTGAAAAGACTGAAGTCGTGCGAAATGATGACAGCCAGTCAAGCACAACAAGACTTATGTGATTGCTTTTCTCTCGGCGCGCCGGTTTTGTCTGTCTCCGACGAGAAGGGGAAAGTGCCGAGGCATGTTTTCATTATGATTCAATAAAAGGTACTGTCTGTCATTGGGAATTCTAAATGTCACTGCAAACAACACAAAGACAAGCGACGAAATTAACCTTTCAACTCCATTTAATTTCCATCTGTGTTTCCTGGACATGAGGAGGCTGCCACCCCAGGCTCCCTAAAAACGAAAGATAAGTTAATCTCTTTCCAGTGCTATACAAGCTATTGCCATATCTGCATACGGAGACTCTGAGTGCTGTAGATTGTTACTGGAGGCTTGGCAATATCGATACTTCTTTGATGACTGCCTACTCCAGTACAGTGTCACAGTGAGCTGGAGCCTAACCCGGATAGCATATCCTTGGACTGTGAGAGAAATCCAGAGCATCTGGAGAAAAGCCACACGGACACACGGAGGACCTGCAAACTGCACGCAGAAAGTGCACGAGGGGATTGCACAGTGGAACCAGGAACTGTGAGGCAGCTGCATTGATCGCGTTGCTGCTGTGCCAACGAACCAACATTGCTTATGGCTCCACAGCAAATGACATCAATGATACAGTAAGGGTTCCTTTAAAATGGGAGGCGGTTTAATGGTCGGCCACAGCCAGAATGCCCAATGCCACTTAGCTTTGTAATGCTTGTACTTGATGATCAACACGGATAAGTAAAGCCCTTTTTCTCTGCTGTTGTTTGTCTTGCTCCACAGTTGGAGCTCCAACCAGCTGCTCCAAGGGACTGGAGTGCACAGCACGTGCTCTAACAGTAGAGGAAGCGCAGAAAAGGCAGGTGTGCTTTAGAGCTGGCCCCAACTAACAGCAGAAGGATGGCCTGAGGGTGTCTGAAAGAGCATAATCGCAGGCAGGGATGAGGCTACATGCGCATTTGTGGAGCCACACGTGTTTCGTTCCTGAGGGATACACTTGTATTGTGAAGCACCAGCATATTTACTGCGTGGGCTGCTGGGCCAACATTTTCTGTAATTTATGATATCGAGATGAATCCACTCATGCCCTGCATGGAACCAAAGTTCTCGCAGAACTTATTGCTGATTGTTTTATGGATCTGTAGTACAACAGAGCATTTTTTTACAGGAGATCAGATACTTCACAGGAGCCAGATTTTCCTTTCTGTCTTCGACAAATGCAGCAAAACGTTAACAATAGCTCTGGAAAAAGACCTTAGCCTGTGGAAAAATATATCACAGATAATAATTAATATTTAAATATACAGTGTATTTTAGAAACTGTACATGTCAAACTATTTAGATCAATTAAAAACATTTTAATATTCTTTGAATCCATGAGTTTTACAATATATAGCATATCAATACACCAGGCTGTTGTTAGTTTTGACAATTAAGGATCTTGCACTTAAAAATAGTAATATGAAGGTACATATGTAATGTTGCTGCATTTAATCTAATATTAATTAGGTGTTTCGTTTATTTAAAAAAAACAATTATATGTCTATGATGAAACATGTCAGAAAGTAATTGTTTATACTGTATTACTCATCCGTATTAACATTCATCTACATAATTCATCTTTAGATGGACCTCCTGGAAAATGTTTAACCTCTTCATATTGTTAAAATGCAAGAGTTCACAGTACAATTACAAAGCACAAACTCAGCTAAAAGGATAGCAAGAGCAAAATGTATTGCCATTCTACCTCTTAGGTGAGTTAAGCATAAGAGACATGCTATAGAGCAGTGATTACATATTAAACTTACATCCACATGCATCCAGACTTTGTGCTTCCTGCATATGTCTGCAATTGCAATGAGAGGGTCAAATGCTCCGTAGACAGTCGTGCCTGCTGTGGCGCTGACAAAGAACGGCACAAAGCCCTGGAGAAACACACAGCTATCTGTCAGGTTAATCAGTGTTATCAGGTTCCATACATTAACAGGAATAAACATGCAACAAGACCTACGTTTTTTTTAAGAACGACCCCTTTCTGTAATAAAAGAGAACAGTTTTCGTTTTCAGTTCCAGGCAAACTGTTGTCTTTTTTTTACCATGATTGATGATCATAAGATAATCGAGAAACAGTTTGAAATGGTTATTTAATACAGCGAAAAAACACAGTACGCAGGGAAGAAAAATTTGGGGGATAATACATCAAAGGCAGCTTTGATTTCTTTTCATCTGCTTTTTTTCTCAAAATAAAATGTGCTTGATGCATTAGTAAAGAAGGCTTAAATAACGGTTGCATTAATAATGCCCGAGCACAAAAGGGAAAAATGTGTGTATCGCAAGCTTCCTCTTAATAAAGCCTCTCAGCCAGAGAGCTAGGGATTGTATAAGGACATAAGTGAGCTTACAAATGAGAAGAGACAATTAGGTTCATCTATCCTGTTGGGTAGTTAGCAGATAATTACTAATTGATCCCAGGATTTTATTCAGCTGTTTCTTGAAAGATGCCAGGGTACTGGCTTCTTCAACATGGCTGAGTTGTTTATTCCACACCCCTACAATACTGAGTCTCTTAGCCATCCTTTTTTTTTTTAAATGCACGCTCTGTACCAGCGTCCAGCTGTAACTATGCTGAATTCTGAAATGGTGCTGTGTGAGACCCAGATACATTCCTTTGAAACCCATTTTTGTGGATGTATTAAAATGACTGCATGTGGTTTCAGAGACGTAAATGATCAAAACACACAGGGATTATGTATTTTCCAGAATAATTGAATTACCTTTTGTTTGGCTTCCACTATTCTTCTCTCGAGGTCCGATGGTATCATTTTACCTCTGGAGAAGGAAACCAGATTATATCGGTTGCATGTTTTTGCAGTTATGACATTTGGTATTGCTAAAACATTGCAAGTGACTCGGTGTCGTGGCCCAGACGTACCTCTCATCAACCTTGATCAAAATTACACTGTCAGTGCCAATTCCCAGGGCTGCTGCTCCTTTCTTAATAGAAAAGTGACTCTGAAAGATACATAAAATAAAATGTATTGGCAATTTTAGTATAGTACTGTTGTTCCTGGATTTTATTGAATTACACATGAATAATTCAATTTTTCTACAGAAAATAAGCATATCACCCTTTAAGGATTCAAAGGATATCTTTGAATAAATGACCACATATGATTTATTAATACAACCGTTTAAAAGGATAATTAAATTGTTCTTAAATTCAAAATAGGCCTTTCCTAATAAAACTGAAAAACCTGCAGTAAATTAATTGAGAAGCTGTTTTTCTGCCATTCTTTTTAACAAACATAAGCTTTTGTTGGTGGTGGAAAAAAGAAAAACACCATTTGTTCGTGGTCACACGTATGGGAATTTAAACAAATATATGCAAATACATTTTCTCCTTGCGTATAAGCACAAAAAAAGTTGGTTCTAAATGGGGAAATGGCAAAAGCAGGAAAGGCATTCATTCACTTCATGAGTGCTTCACAGTGTGACCCAAATATTGCAGAAAGCCAAAGGGGAAATAAATGTTAGTGTCCTCAAAACTGCCAACTCTAATGTCAGCGGTGAGTTAGTCGTCAGAGTGTGAATGTGACATTTAGAGAAATCATTCCAACGTACCGAAAGGCTAACAGAAGACACATTTCTGTCCTAAATGTTTGCTGTGTTATTCCATGGCAGCAAAACATGGTAAAATGAAAACAGTGCAGGGACGGGCTGTGGCTAGGATGTAAAAACCATGAGAAAGCATTACAAATGCATGGGAGAAATATGAGAAAAGTTTGTATTCTGTTTAGGTTGCGCAGGGTACACTGCCATGAAGGCAGTACCTTTCAAAGAACTACCAAGACCTTCTGTCACAAATGATTGAAATCTGTATGTAGGTGATATGATAACATGTAATTGTTACATACAAACTGTTACATTCGTGACATTTCTGTACCACCTAAAAAGTCCCTGGGTGTACTCCAAAACGTGTACTGTAACACCTCAACCAGTATTGGTGTTCATTCCACAGATCGACTAAGAGCAGCGCTGGATCTCTGTATGTGTGTGATGAAGTGGATGTGGGGCTGGATCGACTGCTGTAAAAGCTATTAAAATGTAAATGAGCAAACTAATATCATAAAGAACGGCTCCAGTCCGGAAAACGACTGTATACTGGCTCGCAAACCATCTCTGCTTTTCACAGCATGGATGAGCTGTGAAACATCCGCGTGAGCTCCTCCACGCCTTTGACTTCAGACAGCGTTTTGCTCTTTGTGTCACAAATCGGGAGATGAAAAAAGATCCGCAAAGAAAAAGGAAAACGATTGCGATAAAGCAAACGGCATACGTGCTCAGAGGTGAAGGCAACCAGTCTCGGAACAGCTGACATTCCTTTCTCCTTCACTTCGGGGAACATCTTGAATCGGGCAACCAGCATTGCATACATATTAGATATAGCACCACCTGGGGGAAAACAGTTCAACAGGGCTTCAGTCTTTAACATTCAAGATTGTTATTGTTTTGCACCGCATGTGTATTAAATGTAGTGACGAGGAAGTTCTGTCTTTTTTCTCACGGCTCTTTTAGGTCACTTATTGCACTGTGCGGCTCATGCAATATGATGAAAGAGAAGCTCGTAGCCTTTACATTTCTCTCTCATTTACAGTACATCTTTTTTTTTGTTCCAATTCCCCTTGAATAGGTTCTGTTTGCACTTCTCTTCCGATATATGCCTATAACACTCTGACAGGCTGATTGACTGTTACAGCCAAAATAGTTCCTTACAGACTAAAAGACTCAGTGTTTCACAATCTAATGGTCTATCAGCGGATAAAAGACATATTGCACCAAAGTTCTCGAGTAAAATCGCTGACTACAAGTTCAAAGGCTTATTTTATTGCGATCCTTTGTCTCTCTTTTTAAAATAACAGAAAATATCAGTTATTGGAAAGACGTTCACCATTCTACTAAAGTCCTTATCTTTCTTCATTTCTGTGCTTTTGGGGTTTAGCCATTTTATGACTAAAGAAAGACTTTGAATATATACCATAGAAATCAAAAAGCAAAGTAAAACCATTTCCAGTTTTTGTTAAGAGGCCCTATTTGGAGTTTTGCAAGAAAATCCACACTCATTTTTGAATGAGCTTTCGCTTATGAAACGTTGTTTTTTACATAGTTTGCCTCATTGAGAATGGTATTGTGAGAGATTATGATATGCTTAATAGATTCTATGCTCTTCTTTTGCAACACCTTCTACATTTTGATTGCAGTGCATGTGATAATAAATCTGTGTTTGTGACTTGGCATGCACAAAGAAGGTATGTGTACTAACAATAGGCACACTCATTCCCCAAAGCATCCGTAATGATATAATAACAAGATTATCAGAGGGACCACATTTGACTGTAAGTATTGTGGTTGCTAAATCACCTGGAATTGTGGAAGACCCTCAAATACAAATAAAGTCACCAAGGTCTATTAAAACTATAAATTCCAGACTCAGTGATGCTGAGCTGCAGAACTGCAATATTGCAAATATGTTAGGAATGACATCCATTAGAATAATGGGGGAATATATGTAGTATTTTACAGTGAATCACTGTTGTGTATCTCATTTGGCGCTAGAAGAGTATGACAAAGAAGCAATAGTATAGGCAGGGAACTTACTTCAGCTCACCAAATACAATACAAATCCACAATGCTATACAGTACATGGAAGAAGTAACTTCCTCTTAAAATGCATACTGTACAATTGCATCAGGTTTAGTACTTATTATGCATAGCTTATTAATAAACAGTATATAATAAACAGCAAGGAAAACATTTTCAAATCCACCTCAACCAGTCATTCTTGCTATGTATTTTAATTATTTCCTCTTCAGTCTCCATTTGCTTAGTTGGCTTTGTCTCAGAGAGGGTACTGTACCAACATCATACTCCCCTGCCCAGGGCTTATGGTTGGTCAGGAAAACTGGTATTCATTGGTTTATGGCAGGACAGTGGTACATCAAACACTGACACCAAAGGCCACTGTTTCATATTTTGTTTGATAAATGATTATTTGAAATATAACTTCTCCTCTAAATTATCCTGACTGAAAACCTTAAGGGGCTTCTAAAAGGTCTTCACAATGGATTGAAAGCTTTTTACTGGCATTATCATATTTAAGAGCCTGCCATCAATGGTAATCCCACTCATGAAAGCAGCTTTTTTTACTTGTTGCTTAGCAATCATTGGAGCACCCCTACCCCTCCTCCCTGCCCTACAAAAATCATTTCAATTTCTTCCCTGCATGCAGGGAAGATGGTATTTTGCTAATAGTTTCCAAATTAAATTAAAGAACAAGTTTTATTTTAAATGATTACTTTTGAGACTTGGTCACTGCATGCATGAAAATGACTGACCTTATACTAAGGTACTGTACCTAAGCTACTGAGCATTTCAGAAATCTTGTTAGGGAGAAGATGTATTTTAACAGATCTGTCCCCCCAAAGCAATTGCTAGGGCTTACATGCAGATCTAAAATCAAACGTTCTCTCCAATGTTGACAGGAGAAGTCACCTTACTTGTTCTCTGTCATTTAAAATGTGTGCAGAAACCTGGGTACCCTGCATGAGAACCAGTCAACTGATACTTTCAGATGCGGTGAGATCGGAACCGGCCAATCCCTTTCAGCTCAGAGAGACCTTGAAGAGTCATATACCCGGAGAGAATATTCCATCCCCGTTGCCTTCCGGCCAGCCGATGATCTCCCTCATCTTCTTCAGTGTGACGTACTCCAGCAGGACAAACACCGGAGCGATCTCATAGGTGAACCTGGAGCCGGCGGGAAGAGCACAGGAGCCATCACTCACATTCCTGACTCCCTGTGGTCACTAAAAATCGCAGGGTGTCTCTCCAAAAAGAGTAGGGGTGTAACCCCCGCGTCCTGGCCAAATTTCCCATCGGCCTTAAGAAATATTCCCCATCTATGAACTGGCTTCATCACTCTGTTCTCCTCCCCACTAAGAGTGTGGTGAGCGTTCTGGCGCACTATGGCTGCCGTTGCATCATCCAGGTGGGGCTGCACATTGGTGATGGTGGAGGGGATCCCCATTACTTGTAACATTACTTGTTACTTGAGTGGAGTGTCCAGAAAAAGCGCTATGTAAGTGTAAGCAATTATTTCTATTATTATTATTAATACAATACAATACAATAAAATACAATTCAAACATAACAAAATAAAAGTTCAAAAAGGGAACAAAAAGAGAATTGTTGGGAAAAATGCCGAAATACATCTTTTGATTTAGGATCAGGGGCTAAAGATTTACTTGCAGCTCTTTGCCAGAAGTTGGTTTAGTTATGATACTTAACAAAACCAACTACAACTTCAAAAACTTCAGAAGGCAATTTCCCTCCTAGATTGAATTATCTCCTCAACAAAGTTCCAACCAAGCACTCTATTTTAAGATTTTCTTAAAAAAGATTCTCATTTTTAACATTATTTCAGCACGTTTTATGTGTTTCAATCAGTTCATTTTGCATTGCGAGAGCAACACAACAAATAATGACAGCTTTAACTAATGTTATTATTATATTATTAAACATGCGAGACTATGAGCTGGTCTCCCGTGTGCTCAGTACAGTTACCAGGCACTAACCAGACCTGATCTGGCACTTCATAAAAACACTTTGTTGTTGCCACTGTTATTATTTTATATTTACAGAGCAGATACAGCACAGTGCATTTTTACTTGCTTACTTTTATATGTCACAATTCAACAGTATTGCACTTACTTTTGCTGTGAGAGCTCAAGCACAAGAAATCCTGTCTTAAGCATTCTCAAAAAACTTTGGTAATGAATTTTATTTCAAGTTATAACGGTATGTATCAGTCGTGCTGCAGCTCCCAATGAATGATCACTTAATGGTCCACAACATGTATTGTGAATCCATTAATATAGATGTGGGAGCAATAGACCATCATTGTATCACTTTCCGGGGGTAATTTGGTTCTCTTTGGTTGAGAGAGGGTACACTATAATTTCAATGAGACCACATTAACAAGGCAGTAAAGTATAAGAGAGAATCTGTACTCTAAATAGCAGCTGCAGTTTATAGATCACAAAACATTGGAACATTTCAGTCAGCTATAAAATATGACTGCTGTTAGTACAATATGCAGATCTTTGCTACTGAGTGATAAAAGAGACAAGTCATTAATAGATAAATGTTAACTGATAAAAAACTTATACCATTCCTCCACAAAAATTAAACTAAATAAAAGAGAATTATCCAGTACTTAGATGAAGTCTGATCACATGGATCAGTTCAATATTAAACGCTTCGAGAATCTTATTGGATGTCCTTTATTATAGTGATTCCCAACTCTGCTCCTTTGGGTCTAACAGCTTTACTGGGACTCACTACATCATACAGGATTTAACAATAGCTGCAAGACTGATGCATTTAATTTCTTACATAATGAGCAATCATCTTCCGTGCTTGCTTCATAATAAACTTCAATTAATCCCTTTATGTGTTGTCAAAGTGAAATCTCCCTTATGTAACGTGTTACTAAATGCTCCTGCCACTGTAGTTGTGAACATCGGAGATTCCCAGTTCTGTGCGAAGATGGCACAAAGTCTGTGGCCATTCCTGAGTTACAGGTACACTGGATCTAAATTTAGTGTGAGAATCACATACAACTGCCAGAGTACAGAACCGCATCCACAGCCATTCCCCCATATTTCTTTATATGTATATAATTATTTAAAAGGCCATACAGTATATAGGCTTAAAAGTACCCATATAATATTCCTCACAGAAAAAAGCAAGATGAAAAATAAGCTTGCATTGTGGTAGTGTCTCATACTCACATGTTCGTATTAGCGGTAGAAGTCAGCCAGTCCGCTGCCAAGCCGACCATATCTAATCCGGTAGAAAGCTGATTGAAGTACCTGGGGTGGCCTATAAATAGAAAGCAGTAAAGAAAGAGAGTTCGTGTAAAAATAAGTCATAATACTACTATGCCAATACCTATGGTATAGGAATATTAATCATTCATCACAGTGCTTATATTCTTAAAAATCTCAAAAAACAGTTCAATTAGTAGTCCCAAATATTTGCTGAATACAGTAAATGGCTTTTCAGTAAACACTGTAGGAGTTAACATTAGCATGAACTGACAAAGACCTGCGTACTGAAGCTGCACGATACTCCATTGAATTCAACTATAGTTTATTTTGTTTAAATGTCAGGATAATGCCTATGGCATTAGCGCATATAATAATAATAATAATAATAATAATAATAATAATAATTATTATTATTATTATTATTATTACAATACAATACCTGCAAACTACAGACTACAGTGTAAAGCATTAGATACAGGCTTGTTGACTTTATTTTGCATTACTGTGTTATTTTCGGGTTAACAGGCTAGTATCTAACGCTACTCTCTGAACGCATTCAGATGGAATCATTTTCAAAACCTATGAACACTTCACATCACATTCTTCTCTCGGAAATACTGTCGCGATGACGATGACGGGTCAACTCGGCGCACACAAAGGGAAGATACCTGTTTTTATCGCGTATTTCAACGTTGCACGACAGTTTAACAAAATATCATCCAGCGTTTCTGGCTCGTCGGAAAGCTCCCAATTATTTGTTTGAAGCAATTCGTTGGGATAATGGAAATCAATGACTTTTGTTGACCTGTCAAACGTTTTCACTATGTACGCCAGCAAAATATCCACAATTTCCTGAAGAAAAGTTATGGTTGCTAGGTCTCCATCTGTTGCTGGTAGTAGATCTATGAAATAAAATACATAAACGTTTTAAAATCTTTCATGCAATTTTCGTATTATTACAGTACTACGAACATTTTTTTTACGTACATTTTCTACAGGCCTAAAATATCAATAGCTCTAGAAAACAATCCGCTAAATGTGGTTTTCAGAAACAGCAAAGTATGTGGTCTTCCAGAACGTACGATAATTTTGAAAAAGAAACAATCTTGTAAGTCTATCATGTATCATAATACATTTTTTATGTATTTGTTAGACTTAACCAGTGGAAATGACATTTCAACTCCTCCATTGCACTGCTACAAAGTGTTGCCGAGCTCTTCTAATGTGTTCTTACTGCTGGCTAGTCAGTGCCCAAAAGTTACAACGGAGAAATAATCTCACTTTAACCAAAAAAAAAAAATTAACAAAACGATCACAGTAAATAGCATAATGAATAACATTGTTTCAGACGAAGGGTCCCAAGACTATAGTCTGCAAATATATATTGTATATCCAGCCGCAGATTTGCAATCCGCTTATACAATACATACCGTGCAGTACAGGTATGTGTACAAAAAATAACAAGGATTTCTCGAGTTTGATCATTGCGCTATGTACCTGTTGAATATAGGACTGAGAAATCTACGTTCGTTTTGGAACAATTGCATGGTTTGCTGCACTCGCAGGTCTCTAAAGTCGCTCCTTGTTGTTTAGTTGTGGAGTCAGTCGTTTTTTCCCCTTCTCCAACAGAAAGCAGCGCTATAATGTTTAAAACAGTGTTTTTTTCTCCAGTTAGAAAATGAGTCTTACAGATGAAGGTACAATCATGCTACACGACATAACGACATAAAATTAAGAAGTCATATTTACAGTACGTACATTCCATACAATATATACATTTAATAAAATTCTCAACTTTTGTTTCGCAATCGTTATATTTAAAAAGTAAAACGTACCACATAATTTTGATCCAAGCCCTCCTGTGAATTTCTGGGCAGCCTGACACCAAGCCCTTGCTAAACGAATAATAAATGTTTCAAAAGGTTAACTTTGAAATTCACAAGGTCGTCCCTTTGTGTGTACACATTGATATTTAAAACGCTTACGGAGAAAGCTTAAAAAGTCCTACGGTAGACAACTAGGATGATGTGTGTCTTCTTTTTAACCTTCTGGTATATAACTGAACAAAAAAGATCACTATACTCGACTATTCATTTTTAAACACTTATTAAATAAGTTTCATTTAACATATATGTTAACATCAAATTAATCTTCTAATTCTTGCGTTTTCTGTCTGACTTAACCTTGAGAAAAATAATACGCGTGCCATACAGTGTATGCTCGGAGCACAAAGATAGTCAAACATAACATTGTCACTGTTGGTTTAGGACATTGTTTTGAAAAATTTGCTAAAATAATCACAGACTATTTCCTTCAGCAATTCAAATATTTTGGGCATTTTGCTAATTAAATGCCCCGAAATGTGATCACAGTATTAATATAAACACTCGGATCTGTACCATTGACACCAAAATAAACGGGCGATACATACTTTTGGGGTCCTGGTATTTACTTACGTGTGCTTGGGCTTTGGCTGCTGTTGTTCCCCCCATTTTCAGTACCAAAAGACCAAAAGCCGTGTGATGCCATTATGAATTGTTGCTAGCAGTTTCTCAGAAAACGAGACAAATTGCGCCCATCCGGACAGTCAACAAGGGAAAAGGAGCTGTTCAGTTACGCGGTGCTGATTCTGTCCCGGCTACGTTCTCCCCCGATCGAAGAAAACTGCCCAGACATTGAATGTACTGTAGACAAATACACAGCTGGCAAGCGCAAAACGTGACTGCCACCTTTCTACGGAGAATCCTTTTTCATCTCAGACTTCCACAGGTATCAAACAGCTGAAACGCAAATCATTCACTATGTCGCTGTTTAATATTAGCCTTAAGTTCGGGCACAGTTAAACAGTGCGAGCTGCAGTTGAAGGAGAGGTGATTATTCACACCGAATCACAAGCGCGCCTTTCAAGCGCGTCTGAAACAACTGGCAGGTACAGTACACTCACTCTCAGACGGGCATCTGTTGGTGTATTTAGGTGATTGGATCGGTTTCGCGTGTACACAAGCACAAATCCAAAGAAAGGCCCTTTTTGGTTGTTTGCTTTAGAAGTCACTATTTGTAATCGTCGGGCTCCGCAAATCACACAAGGCTTTTAACTGTTTAAAGGCGAGTAAGACAGTGTTTTTATATCCGTGTCGAAAATCCACCGTACAAATAGCCACGGGGGTGTATTATGAAATTAGTAAGTAATTTAAGGTTCAAGCCCTCCACGGTTCTGCCTCGTTTTAACGTCACAAAAGAATTTCCAGTCTGAATCACAAGATGACGAGCAAGTCTGCGTAGTGGGTCGTGACCATTAAACCGCAGCAGTTGTCCCCTCTACTTCTGTTGATGGTAACATGCATCTATGTGACTGGACGAACATACTGTTGGATTTTTTTTCTTTTTTTTGGGAAGCAGCAGCTCCAATACATTCAACTCATCCCCGTATTTCCCCGCAACTTCAGTAATTGCCTCCCTCCGGTGGAAAATGACTTGGCAGCCCTGACATCATTAGTAATAACACGTAGTTCTCTGCGCGAATTCAAACTGAGTGCTCCGTGAAGCGTGGCATTCACGTCTGCAGTCCATTTATTGTGGTGGCTCGTGATTGTCCCCTTTAGGCACTTTCTGAAATTCCACTGTCAGGCTGTGCTCAAACGTCATGCATCTTGGACGCCAAACATCAGCTGGAATAAACAGTCTCGAAAAATCTGAAGGGCTCAAGGATAGGTTGGGAATGATGTGCTTCTACTAAATATGGTAACATATACACTGTACTGTCCTTCGTTGGAGAAGTAATTGCACCTTGATTTGATTATTATTATTGTCATTATTAACACCACCATTATTATTATTATTATTAGAATTGTTGTTGTTGCTATTATTATTATTTATTTTTCTAACTGCACCAAACTATTTTCAGTTTAAATCTTGACGATTCCCAGTCCACATCCATTTTATAGCTTTTCAGTAGAAAACATTTCTGAACACAAATGCATTAATATTCTTTCCTTTCAGGGTCAACCTTATCTAGGGGTTTCATGCTATTTTTTCCCCCCTGTCAAATTAGGTGTAGAAAGCAAAAGCTGATTGCAGCATCTCGCACTTGGGCAAAAGAAGGGGCACAGCCATCCAATTTTCCTTAATGTCAAATGTAAGGATGTCTGTTTACAGCATGTCAACAGGGTTGATATTTAGCTTTCATTCAAAGCCTGATTTTACTGACGTGATATACATGGTCAAGTCCAAAACCCATCAACAGCCACATGAAAATCAGTATCTGTGTGTTCAGCATGGATTTTTGACACGCTTTGATTTTAAAAATGAGTACCAGTTACATAACAGAAATAGTGCAGGTGAGCTCAATAAATGGGTTGCCAATTTGACATGCAGTATTTGCAGTACAAAGCTCTTTAGCAGAGTCTTTGAAGAGAACGGCTTTTGATGCCTGCGGATAATTGTGTGTCAATGGTTAAAAGGGAAAACAAGTACGTTTTAGAAATTGTTAGCTTTACCTATAACCTTTGGTGAAAATTATGGACGTAGCTAAAAATCTAACTGAAGTAAAAGATCAGAAAAAAATATTTAATTTGACTGAATGTTCACTGTATTGTTTTCTTGCATTTCCACTCAGTCTACTCATTACATGATAAGCACTTTTCTAGAGTAATCACCAATCATTTAGTGCATTTATTATTGGAAGAGCTCTGGTAGGATATTACCCAGAGAACCAAATATCACTTAATATGTAATAATTAAACAGCACTGACTATTAGTTTACACCTTCTTAATGAAACAGCCACATAGTATACATATTTGTAGCAAGTATGTTCCTTTCTTATTTAAACCTCATTTCAGTTTTTCCATCTTTTCTTAGATAGACTTTAAAAGGTGCTTTATTTCTTAAAGCGGTAACCAGTTAAGACAACTGAGATTAAATTCTCAATGATAATGATGGCCCGGAGAGTACCCATTTATAAAGCAGGGCAGGTACCAGAGCAATTTTAGTGACGTACATTAACGTGCTGAAGGGAAAGAAAGCCTGCTGGTGAGAAGACCTCCCTGGATTGGGACTCACAAGGCCCAGGGTTGGAGACCTCTGGATATCTCCTGTGCGCTGCATCTACAAATCCTGTCATGCCAGATATTTATAACCACACATTGCAGAGATTTGAAGGATAACAGAAATTAGTAGTGTCCTTTAGGAACACTGAGCGAGAGTGAACTCAAGGACTCCTACATTGTTAACATTTAGGACATTTAGAAAGAAAGCTGACAGATGAGGCCAGTTGTAAAAGCTGCAGAGACATTAAGTAAGAAACTGGCAAATAACTTTTTCCCCCCATTTTTCCCAGCCTTGAGAACGCCGTGAAGTTTATTATCTTTACTGAAGGACACATTTGCTTCTAGAGTGATGCAAGTAGGAAATTGTATAAATATTACAGTACAAATTTTAACACAAAGCAAATCCTACCACACAGAATGACTTTTGAAGTGAGAAGATTAAATGGGCAATTGTGAATGTTTTGTTCTCTTTAAAAAAAACACCACTGCATCCTCTGATCTTGGTGGACTGATGTGTTAACACTTGTTCTTTTAGCTGTACAGCCAACAGGATTTCCATACATACTGTACAACCTCATTAGGCTTTCACATATTGTATGTACAATACACTGACTTGTGTGTTAAAACAAATGTAATAACTACATACAATATTGGTACCTTACAAAGAATTATTTATAGACAAGATAACTTCTCTGACCGACAAAATTGCTTTTTGACAATCATATGAACTTCTACAATTGAAAGACTTTAAGCAATTCTAGGCATTAATTTTCATTTCGAATTTAAAGATACACAGAATCAAAAGCAGAACCATTTTACAGCGATACACAAATAAACAGTTGTGAAATCCAAAAAGAAAGTCAATGTTTTTACGAGTGTTTATAAATGTACAGACACCTTATTTGCCTGGTACAGTATAGAATACTGTACATTGCCAAGCAGTTTTGTACATTATGTTGTTTTTGTGAAACAATTAAAAAAACTAATTATTTTGATAATTATATATATATGATAATAAGTGTATGTGCATATGTACAAACATCTGGATATTTAGTGTTTTTGGACCAATGGTGACCTTTTATGATGCTGCATTTCCCAAAATGATGTTTTTTTCATTTTGTTGTGTTGTCAATACATAATATGTAACAAAATCGATAGTATTGAATACGAATAATGAAAACACATCAGAAAATGATTTAGCAGAACAAGAATATCACAACGATTGCTTAACTGACTTTCTTTTGTTTGATTTTCATGTGTTCAGAGGAAAAACAAAAACACTTTTGGAAACCATTAAAGAAACAACTTGTTCGCTAAGTGTGAACATAGCTGTACATGTCTTACATTAAATCTTTATTTTAATTTGTGAAGCTTTAAAGTCAGTTATCCCAATACACAAAGTATTGAAGGTGAAGAAAAGCTGATACATAATGAAAGTATATTTAGATTCTAATAGCCTCTAAAGACAAGCGTCTACAAGTAGCGGAAGTGATAACAGGAGGCTAAGAGACAAGCTAGCACTGCTTGATCAGTCTCTGCCTTTGGGATGTCTTCCTGAGCAATTTTCTGTAGTCGTAGGGATTGTCTTCTTCCTGGCTCTCTGTCGAGGTCAGTTTTGCAAGTGGTTGCCTAGCGTGGAAGCAGAAAAGGTAGCGCTTGGTTAGGACCCAAAACATAGAGTAGTAATGAACAAGGAATGAAACATAGGAAAGAAAACTATTTTTTCACATGTTTGTACAGTATATGCAGCACAGAACACAGAACATAAGCTTAATATCTGTATTTTTCATCTCAAAGGATCTCAAAGCACTTTTCATATAGGAGGGAACTCTCTATGTGCACCAATGAAGTGCACCACCTGATTATTACAGAGCAGGTCATGCAGAGTTAGAAATCACTACTACATTAATGCAGTTACACAGGGGGACATTAAGGGAGGTCAGACTGTGCAAGCACAAGGGCTCTGAAGAACTGTCAAGACCAGTGTTAAGGGATCTTTGATGACCAAGCAGTCAGGATCCTAGTTTAGCATCATTTTTTATTTATTTTTTTATCCAATAAGCTTTATAGAACCACTAAGCTTCAAACAAATGCAGTTTACATAGAATAGCAAGAAAGTAAACATTTTACCTTTTAATATAGAATTACCCTTCAAAACAAATTCTTACAGAATGTTTGACGGATTAATTAAAAAAAATCAGATGAATATTATTGTATTACATTTTATGAGAGGTAGCGGCACAGATGTAAATGACAAGTGCAATTTACCACTTGCAGCAAACATTCAACACGATGAGCCAGACTATTAAAGGAACTGACATTTGCTGTTCAAGGGAAGCAATTTCTGTTTGAATGGCGCATTCACGTTACAGACTAACAAAAAAGGACTCCTGCAAACAAAATTAATTATTGAGATAAAAACTTAATTTTCTTATTTCATTTTATCAACGGAATTTATATCAAACATATAAACAACAACAAACTACACGGTTTTGGCTTTTCAGCATTTGGCAATCTTTGTCCACATTTCTACACTGAATGAGCATGCATGTAATGCACCCAGGCTAAAGTGCAAGTCTTATTTTCAAGCCACAGTTGAGTTCTATTAAAGAATATATTTTGATACCATATATCTGTATACAGAATACTGTATATTTTTTACATTCTGTTTTACCAAAAACAATGACTGCACGTTTTCAGCAAGAGTATACAGCAGGAGGGAGACCCTGCTGTTTTCTCAGGATGGCACTTACAGTAGTTTATAGTTTGAGCTGCGAGTTTCTTACCGTCCAGTGTGGCTGGGTGGCAAGACCTTTGGCTCTGGAGCCGGCCTGGTGGGAGATTTTTGGTCAGGTGAGGTGTTTCTCTCAGGGCTGCTGTTCATGGAGGTATTGGATGAAAGCTCTTGGTAGTAACTGTCTTCAATGTCTAGAAGTTTTCCCGGACTGTGGAGAATACATAGGCTTAGACTTAGAAACAAGTACGTAAGAAGGATTGTAGCTGAAGGAGGGCTGCTCACACTGTCACCAGACTGGAGTGCCACCTTTTCAAAAAAGATGTAGGGAAACGGAATGTGTCCTCTGAATTCTCAGAATCTTTGTAGGTCATCATGTTCATTTCAGAAACCTTTTTTCCAGGTTTCTTGTGTTTATTTGATTATTTGTTTAGTTTAAATAAGCCATTTCCTATCAGTGCAAGGCTGCTGTGATAACTCATCTTCAAAGGCTGCTTTGGATAATTAGGTATTGCCATGTATTGTACTGGAAATACTTATACTGTAGAAGCGAAACTGAGGAAAAAGGGATGCAAAGAGCAAATTCCACATTAATTGCTAAAATAAATATATCCACAAGATATTAATAATCTGAACTGATCATTTTAAAATGTGATAATGACCAAACTCTTTTGCACTTTAACTGAATGTTAGTAAGAAGTCCTCAATTCTGATTATAGCCTGAACCATACACTAATCTTCATAATTCTTACAACAGTTTAAACACAATTAAGAACACTAATTGATATGTTGGAGGTTATGAACAGAACTTTACAGCTAAAGTAAAGTTATACAAATAATTGTATTAATATATGATGAAGAAGTATGAGCAGGGAGCTGCGTCTGTATGTACAAGCTACAAAGGAACAGGTAAAGGTTTATTTTTATGCTAAAAAGGGAAAATTGACACCCTAAGAAGGTGTCAAAAGCCAAACATTGCATTTACTTTTCTTTTTTTCCTTTCAGCATGGAATAAACCTTTTCCTATCCCTTAATATATGATTATACTGATATACAATGTCACTACAGAAGTTGTCCCACAACCCATCAGAAAGTACAAGCAGTGATAATATTTCAGATTTTTAGATACTGTATGTGATAAACACTATGGCTCCTGTCCCAGATAACACGAGGAGAAAAGTAAAAATTTTAACCAATGGACTGAACTTCTACTGACTGGTTACAGTCCTTCTTTATGTTTCACTCAGTGCTGCGTGGAAAAATCTGAGGTAACGTCTCGTCATGCTATCTATCACAATATCAATGCCTGTGCTTATTCAGGCCATGAGGGACTGTGGCACCATTAGATGAATTGCCTGGCAACAAGGCAACATTGTAGCATACCAACATAATATCAGGTTATGTAACAATTTGGTGAAACAGTTATTTTCTTTTTCTTCTAAAAACACATCTTCTTCTAAAAACAAGAATAAAACAAAATGACAATTCAACATTCATCTCTTCCCTCCAGAAATTTCTCCCACACGGTTAATGGTCTGCACTCCAGATAATGGACTGTTTCCAGTCACAGTACTCTTAAATATAAGATCAGACATCTACAAAGGTATCATGTAAAAAATGGTATAGAAACAAACCTCCTTTAGAATATATTGGTCAATTTTTGTCTGAACAGTAAGAAAAGATATTGCTGGTCTGGAGTCAGTGTGGAGAAGAGCCACCAGAAAAATTGCTGCTTACATGCAAATTAATCTTTTTAGTCTTGAACAGGGATGACTATGAGGGGACCTATCTGAAGTATTACAATTTTTCAGAGGTACACAGTCAAACCAGTGGTCTTCTTCATAATCAACACTGAAACAGAAACCCAAGCACACAAGTGAAAACTACAGGAAAGTGCAATTAACACTGAGAGCACGTCTTCACTCAAAAGGATTTGAGAGTGTGGAGGAAGCTTCCCAATCCCAGATATTCAAGATGATACCTTGGCATTTTACAGGAAAGACTTGGCTGAAATCCTTGGATTAATTAGCTATTGAAAACAAATAAGCATGTGCCAAATGGTCCTTGGCACCGGTCAACGGTCCCGTGATTCGTCAACATCAGCGGATGCTCTTCAGGCCCTCACTGTTCACTCCCTCACTGGCACCACGTGTACAAGCTGCTGAGAGCTCCGCAGAGACGTTTAAAGATAGGCCAGGTTTTCACCGGTGTCAACATGCTGTAGCTGTGGTCAGACCAGCTAACCTAATCTCTTTCTGAGGCTGTCAAAGGCCAAGGTGGAAGATAACATTGAGGAAATTGAGGAGATCAAAGAATATCCTTGTTTAGGATGATATATAAGAGTAGAATACTTAAACACATTCTGACAGCCTGAAAAGATGTGTAAAAAGGTATCTATAGTGTCCGATGGCCAGAGCATACACAGGGGATCGGGGGCATTATCACGATGGTATCCATGATTTCTGTCGCTGGCTCACTCACATTTGATGTAACAGATTTAACAGAGGTTAATTAATTATGCTAATTAAGATTTGTCAATAACAAGGTTGTTAAACAGAGGGTATAGTGTGAAAGTTACAGACCAGCGCTGTCTGCGACCACCACTGGAAGCAATGCAAGCATATGGTATCTTTTGCACTACATTGCAGGTGCTGTTTTGTGGAAACCTTTTCCATTTTGTTCACAGGACCTGGACAAGTACATGCCTGTCTACTGGTCTATAAGTCTTTGGGGCCACACATCACCCCATATCATCCCACAAATGTTCAGTGGGGCTCAGATCTTGCAAATTGTGCATTTGTGGCACAACAGTCACATTTGCATCTCTCAAGTTAGCTGTTGAGCATTTTCCTGGAGGAATGCTTTCACTTCAGGATATGCCTGCAGATAGGCAGTAAGTGAGGTCCCAGGTTATTAAACATTCAATAGGTTAAATAACCTGATCACTTGTGCCAAATGAACTCACTTACTAATAAGATGTTCTTGTGTTTATGCAATACTCAAAGTTACTTGAGTGCATGACATGCAGTCAGGAATGATTTATTAATCAAAATTATGACAAAAAGATTTAATCATGATCAAAATCTGATTATTTTTTCGAAAAATCTGCAGGTATGAACCGATCAATACGTTTCTTTTCACGCCTTAGTATAATGTCAGCGGTTACAGAGTTTTAAACATTCGTTTACAGTTCAACCAAGAACAAGTTGATAACTGCACAAAAAGGGAATGTGGTGATCTAAAATGAAAAGCACGATAAGGTCCTTAGATCACATTTCATAGCCACGTTTATGCCTTTATCTATTTCAATATCGCATTTAACAAAAGAATTAAAGACAAAAGTAAATGAATATTGTGCTATGAGCTGATGAAAAAATACCAGTTCTTGTGCAAGTGCTCTCGCTGCATGCCACAGTATTATCACTTTCCATCCTAGTCTAGTAATGGTGCATAATGATGCCCATCCTCCTGTGATACACTCAAACAGTGGGGCTCCTCTTCATGTGCTTTGTCTTGCTTTTTGGATTACAGGCTGCATTATCTAACAGAAATGGAATCTGGGTCACTTGCATGCACCATCGCTTTCCATATTTCCACCAGGTATTCTATCATTCAATTTAACAATACCTAACAATGCTATAGAGACCTATTTTCTGATTAGTTTTGGGCAGTTATGCTTATAATAATTTAAATAAAAGTTATGGCATTTTGAAGTGAATTATGCAGCCATGAGCTCAGACACAAAAAAAGCCTTTGCGATAATTAAACACATTTGTTCACCTCAAATCTTTTCCATTATTTTAATAAGAAGATTCAGAATTCTGGTTCAGTAGAATACTGCCTTCTGAATAGTTTCAGCCAGTCAGGATTTCATGGGAAATTAATTCATTAACCTGTAGTCATTGGTTATGTTCATCTCCTTGACAAAACATTAACACCTGGGTTTTGTCTTCTTGCACATCAAGTATCAGTGAAAGTTGGCGACTATTATATTCACAAAAAGGACTAGAAAAACAGTTCACCAATGAAATAATTTTTCTGTACAATTCTAGCCTATTGGCTCATTTAGGGAAAGCCTACTGAATACACTGATTTCACAAGCGGTGACAAAGTCGACCACCTGGCTGTAATACTTGATGTTATTTTACAGTGTGTACAAAAAAAAAACAACATCAGGGATCTGAACATCTCCCTTTCTCTATGTTTGTATATTGGCTACCTTCTGTAACATCACCGCTATGATAAATACAGTACCCTGCAAACGTATTCAGACTCCTCCTATGGTATTCCAGTGTGTGAAATTATAAAATGATGCATGCTCATTTTTGTAAACTAAATGCTCAAACTGTAGACTTCCAAGGATAAGGTAAGTTACAGTAAATATCAGCAAAAACAAAAGAAAAAATGAAATACACAGTAGTGTATTAAGTATAAATCAATGAATAATTAAGAATCAGAATATGTGAAATATGAAGTGTATCCCTAGTTATTTATAACAATAAAGGGATAATTAGAATCAGGTCCTACACGCACCATGTGCATGCACACACTGATGGGCACAGGCCACAGCTGTAGATAGTGTCCTTTTCTTGAAGATCTGACAAATGGCCATCCTGCATCACATAGGTAGAGCAAAAGTATTTTAATTTCCAAAGCAATCTTCTAATTCTGTTTCATATTTGCACTTATCTTAAATAGCCCTTTCATTCGCTGTATATATAAAACCACATTATCAGGGATAAATCGAAGCTCCAAACCTTTAACACAAGACAGGTTTTCACTGATTGCTCTCTCAACAGTGGTACCCTGGCAGGTCACCCACAATGCCTATTTGTAGGACCAACTGTGATCCTATGTTGTCACTAACTGTAGCTGAAAAGCTGGTCTACCCTCTTGTCTTCCCTCAGATTGAGTACTGTAATGCCCTACTTACTGGGGTATCTAAATCCATTCTGAGCAAACGACAGGATTCGGAAGCCAGAATGCAGACCAGGTCTACTGCAAGAGATCACATCACTCCTATCCTGGAGTCATTGCACTGGCTTACTATCAGGTTTCACATTGACTTCAAAATCCTCACCTATAATGGCTCACCTATAAGGCTTTGATTGGCTTTGCGTCTCAGTACCTGTCTGAATTACTATTGTCCTACTCTCCATCTCACAACCTCATTTGTCTAATTCTAGTATCCTGTCTATCCCCCAATCCCATCTACTAACTATGGATGACAGCGCCTTCTCCTGCTATGCCCCACAGCTCTGGAATTCTATCCCTAAGGATATCAGGGAGCCACTTTCCCTGAGCTATTTCAAATCAAAACTTTAGAAGAATCTTCTTTAGAAGAGCTTTTATCTAATTGGTTCTGTATCTGTCCTTTTGCATGTCAAACCCATATCGTAACTACTGTATAATTCTGCTGGATCCTCTCACTGTGTACTTTTCTTCTTACTGTAAAGTGGTATGTGAAGACGTTACTTAAAAAAGGAATAAAAAAGTTTATTATTTTTTATTTAGATAATATTCATAGAGTACAGGGCTATTGAAAATCCGAAATAGTGGAAAAGAATAATTAAAAAGGCAGGACATTTTTCATGACATACTGTACCTTCATCAAACTCCTTCTAAAAAGCCATTTTGCAGAGTTGGGGAAATTTAGGCTCTTTACATTTTTAGAGACCTTATCAGAATAACCTTTACTCTGTTATCTCTGCCTCAGATGCTTCTTTGAATGAAATGGGTTTCCATGCAATCTTACAGCATCTACACTGCTGTCATCCCATGCTGGAGATTCAATCCTTTAACTGACCTTCTAATTGTTAATGGTGCATATAAACTACTCCCCTCCATGGGCTTTATTTATCTGATAACAAATTATCTGTTAAAAGCTATTTCCTTGCCTGTTGCTCTTGTCTTTCAAGCCTCTTTAATAGACTTTCCTTCTCCTCCTACTCTTCTGTACTACTCTGTTATATCTTCTTATTTGTGGATACTTCATCTCCTTTAACACTGTTACTCACCTTGAAACACAGACCTAAAAGCATTTATTCTAGACTTGACAGTGACAAAGCTGGGTCTGACACCTGCACTGGGGTTTTCTGTAAATTTGTTTCAAACCTGAAATATTTCATATTGCAGAACATGAGGGGGGAAACCTGAACTAGGTGGATATTGTGAGGAACAGAACTGCAGAATTATCATTTGCTAGCCAAAAATGCTTGATCTTATGGTCTATTTTGGCCTTCCTGTTCACTTCGTGAGCTTAAACTGACAAAAGGTGAAACGAGAACAGAAGTCTGGTGAGGTTGCGGACAGAAAGCAGACAGAAAGCTTGGTTTTAATGGCAAAACTGATGCTACAGGAGAGATCATGCTCTGGGAATGGGAAGAATACAACAAGATAAAGTCAGTTAGACAGTCAGGGCCCTGCTCTCACTGGACTTCATTTCTACCAGCACACAGGAAGTATCCATGGTTAGCCAACGTTTAACAGTCAATATGAACGAATGTAAAGATCCAGGAGTCTTGAAGTTAAACAACAAGTGGCATTGTAGGAAATTAACATTTTTTTTAAAAGTGTTACCAGAAAAGGATAGTGAATAACATTAAAGATTATTCAGATCTCCTACATCATACTGCATGCCACTGATCACAACTTCCAACCACTAGAAGCTTGCTTTACAAAAATGTGATTTTAGTCTTCTTTATATTTGTGTTTTAAGAATGTTATGCTTGCTTTAGGACACCTCTTGCTGAGGTAGATGGTACTGAGGTAGATGGTACATAAAAGATGCTTCCATAAAAGCATCACACAGCCCAAATCATGATGTGCAGATGAAACACAAGAACAGTCTTTACCTTTGTTTCCTTGGCTTCCTTTTATCATCCTGAAGAGATCTCTGCAACCAGAAACGAAACGTTACCCTGATGAACGTCTCTGATGCTGTGACGTGGTATTCACTTAAACACTCAGAAAACGGGACTATGAATTCAAGCTTAATCGGAAATACAATTAGTTTTATGAAAACGTAAATGGGATAGCTGCAACTCGGGTCATCGAAAGGGATGAGGACACCCGTATACTGTGAATGGCATTGGGTTAATCAATATGCAAATTATCTGATTCAGCTTCATTTCAGTAAAATCAATGTTCTGACTTGGTTACTTACATGGATGAGGTTATAGTAAGTGGAGTCTTCAGGGGTGTTCAGTGTTTTTGGTTGCTGGGTTCTTCTTGGTGTTCTCACCTGCTTCTGGTCTGCTAGAATCAAAGAGTGACAAATGTTCATCGTTTAACAATGGCTAATTGTTAATTAAATAATTACTTGTACTTTTAAAACTGAGACAACAGTTCTTTCCTTTTCCATAGAGGTCAGTTAATTTCTTTCTCATGAACGTGTTTGATACATTAATCACGAGATTTTGACTCTCGGTTTGGAGACATTAGCCTGCATCTGCCGCTGTACTTCCTGCTTTACCGTGTTCTACACAGTTAATAATTTATTTTGACCCCTTTTTAAAAAAAAAAAAGCATAACGTAGGAGGTTTGCACATTATTTTCCTTTAAATGTTTTCTTAAATTGGATATACTAGTGGAATCACCGGCAGGCTTCCTGTCATGGTTGAAGTTCAGGGTTTGCGTTCTACCTGCTTGTGAAGAGCCACTGGTTTAAAGAACACTATTTGTCTGCGTGGAGGCAGAGGAGAAGCACAAGCGCTCCCGGTGAGTCAGTCTCTAGGGTGGCTAAATTCAAACGTGAAAGAGTGGGCAACACTTATTTCAAAGAAAGTTTGCACAGTTATTATGATGCTTGAAGAAATCAAAATTGGCATAATGGTGCTTAATATCTAAAAAAAAAAAGATATTAGTGTTTTCTCTGTTAGTCTTGCACTCCTCCCCACTCTTACAATGTGTCTAATGAGTTTATCCAGTGGGTCTCTGCTAGTATAAGATCGTGACTGTCTTATGTTTTCCTATCATTACTGCACCCACGTAGAGGGACAGCATCATTTACACATGGTGGGGAGTAATTTGCAGTGGCTATAAAGCATTCAATAAAAGTTTTAATTCAGTCATTTTGTTTCAACAACTGATTCCTCTAGTGGGATTTATTAAATATTTTCCTATCTGTGTACCATTCCTCTACATGGCTATAGGTTTAAATCAATTTTGTCAGAAATAAAAGGAAGAATTTCAGATTTTAAAAGTAAACACAACTGCAATAAGGTGTCCCCAAGCAGAAAACTCTGCCTCCTGCAAAGAACAGGCAAAGGTGTTTATACCCATGAGAGAGAAGTCTCCTGCTGTGTTACAACTTAACATTTTCTACAAAATGTGTGAAATGTTTCTATGGAAAAGAGCAATTCTAGCAAGTGAATTGTTAATTAGTTTTCTCCCATAACAATTCATGAAGCATGAAGATTTCTTTCAGAATACAACAACATGCAAGAAAAGAGCAATTGTATTCTATCCGGGTCTCTCAGTTTTCCCAGATACATAATTGTTTTGTGATAACAATTCTATATCAGTAATGTGTGTATATATATATATTTCCCAATAGTTGAGGTGGGTAGCTGCATCAGCATGCGTAGGCTGCAAAGGAACAAGTAATAGGTTTATTCTGTGCTGAAAAGAGAAGAAAGAATACACAACGTTTCTGCAATATAGCTTTCTTTGGGTGTAAGAAAGATAGGTCAGTCAGCAAAGATAATATAGCATAATATAGATAATATAAACAAAGGCCAGGAGGGAGGAGGCGGCGGGAGCAGGGGAGAGGCAGAGTGGCCAATTTCTCCTGAAATGTAACACTTTTTCTTTTGACTCTGACACCACCCAGAGTAACACTTAGAGACTTCTCCAACTATTTTCTCAGAAACTAATGCTTTCTACCATTTTCTCCCTCAAACAACAGATTACTCTTCCTGACAACAACATCAAAGAAACCAAGGAAATTTTACAGCTAACAGCTCTGCATCATCTTCCCTTTATAACTAACCTCACCAGATCCCTCAACTCCCAACTCTACCAGTTCCTCACTTCAGAGAAGGATAAAAAACTCAATCATCTTCCACGGAAAAAAAACACCAACATCCCTACCACCTCCACCAATCCTAACCTTGTCGTTACCCTCTGACCTTTCCCTTTCACAGGATGAGTGATCTCTTCTCAGCAGAGGCCTCAGTTTTGTCTCAGTCCCCAAGAAGCTGGACATCCCCCAAGCCAAAGTCGACCTCAACCACTTTTACTGAAGGATTTATCTCAGAGCACATTTTGCTGACGACTCCTCCCCACAGGCAGCTGACAACAACCCGTTTATTGTTGTCATTAACAACATTAATCCTAAACAGAGCTGTTGGACTCCCCCTTCCGGCTGTTTTCCACCAGTTGATTACTTCATTAACCAATGCATCAATCAAGCTCCCCTTTCTATACCCAGAAAACACAAGTCTAACCTCATCCAAGGAGAAATTCAGGCACTCCCCAGGTATCTCAATTTTAACTCCTCCCAAAAATTCACAAACCCAACACCCCTGGATACCCCATGGTCTCTGCACGCAACTGTCCAACTACTCACATCTCGGCCTTTCTCGACAGCCTTATGAGACCGCTGGTTGAAGGTACTGTATCCCTTCATATATCAAGAACACCATGGACATCACGTCTCTCTACACCTTCATTCTCCACAATGACAGTCTTACAGCCCTCAAGCACACACTGGACAAATGCACAGTACTTGATCCACCCCCCCAACACCCTTGTACGCCTTGCAGAATTGGTACTCACACTTAATGCTTTCTCTTTCAATAACGTTTTTACCAGCAAGTTAGTCGCCATGGGCACCAGGATGGGACCTAACTATGCCAATATTTTTGTCGGCTGGGTAGAAGAGCGCTTCTTCGCTTCCTGCACTGGCTTTGTCCCAGACCTCTACAAGCGATACATTGATGACTGTGTCGGTGCCGCCACATGCTCTAATGACCAGCTAGAGCACTTTCTGCATCACTTCACCAACTTCCACCCGTCCCTCAAATATACAGTTAACATATCCTCCGCTACTCTTCCATTTTTAGACATAAACCTATCCATTAACAACTCTCTACTTCGGTCTATTACAAACCCACAGATTCACACAGCTATCTTCTGTACAGCTCATTTCATCCCAAACACACTAACTCTCTCTGTTTTACACAGTTCCTTCGGCTACGACGACTCTGCAGTGACGACATCGATTTCCAGAACCAAGCCCTCATAATGTACTCTTTTCATCAAATGAGGATACCCCACCAGTGTTATTGACAGGACCCTCATCTGAGCCAAAAACAGCCCTCAGGCCATCAACTTGATCAGGAACTCCCGGCCTAACAATCACATTCCTTTGGTGATTCCCCACCACCCTAACACACTCTCTATCCCCAGGACCATTAACGACAACTTTCTTTTCCTTTAGGATGATCCCTTCATTGGGGTCCTCTTTCCTGACGGCCCCATCATCTCATATCGCCGACCACCCATTGCGTAACCTTCTTGTTCACCATTCCCTTGACCGCCCTCAGCAACCACCCACATCAGGCACTTTCCCTCGCAGTATCACTTGCAAGTACACATCCAACACCACACTCCTTCAAGGCCCCTCAGGACAATTCCGGATCAATCAGATGACATCTTGTACCTCCAGCAGCCTTATTTATTATATCGTTTGCAGTACATACCCAGCCATCTACATTGGGGAATCAGGAAGGAGACCCAGAGACCGCTTCAGAGAACAAAGATTTCTCTAAGCCCATAGTTTCTTATTTCACCTCTGACAGCCATGATTACACTGATCTCTCTGTCTGCGTTCTCAAAGTAGGGTTTCTTAACTCCTATAGCAGAAAGAAACTAAAATTATCCTGAAACTTGGTTCACATCTTCCCCCTTCTCTCAACGACAGACTTGTTTTCTTCTAATTCTCTCTTTTACCTCTCTTAGGTTTCCTTTCACACCTCTCTTCACCTCTCTCGACCTCGCACCACTTGATTGGCCACTGTGCCTCTCCCCTGCTCCCGCCTCCTCCTCTCTCCTGGTTTTTGTTTTCCCATGCTATATTATCTTTGCTGACTGACCTATCTTTCTTACACCCGAAGAAGGCTCCACAGCCGAAATGTTCAGCCTCCAATAAACCTACAGTATTACTATGTTAGAACATCCACAAGTAGTATTCATGTGCATTTACTATTTGTGAGTAATTAGAATGAAAGAATAATTTCTGTTTGTGACAATGGATCACTTTGACCTATTCAGTGACAGCATATTGCTTCCAAACATCTAACCATCAAAAGGTTAATCGACAGGTCTTCAGGAGCCAGATGCCATTTGTTTTGGTGACAAATCGAGCGTCTCTGGGTCATCATTGATCCCCCGAAACACACTGTTCATAAACACTGCCAGCCCTCTGCGGACCTCGAGCTGGAGCTCATCAGAGCATGGACAGACATTGCCCAGGGGATTGACAAACCTGAATTCTGAATAGACAAATGAAACTCTGGTGCGGTATGTTTAAGGCTAAACGCTGTCATTAAAGCAGGACTCTATGTGGCATGTACTGTACCAATGTCCAGGTAGCAAACAAATCCAAAAAGGGCAATTCAGAGAAATCTCAAAAGTCCAAGAACAAGGTGATAAAAGCCAGAAGAGTAGTGCAGGGAAAACGTGCCGTGAGAGCAAACAGCGAACTGCCGAGCTAGAGACTCTAATACCGAGCAAGGTGCTGTGGGAGGGTTTAAATGGTGATGGGAACAGGTGAGTAGAATGAATGAGGTAATAAGGTGCAGTTAGTGACAGGTGAGGTGCGTGGTCGTAACAGTATGGTTATTGCAGGAAAGGACAAAGCAACTGACCTCTTTACTTGGCCTTATCTAGACAAGAGGTGCTCTGACAGCAAGTCACGGGTTTCATCAGTAATACATTTTCATTGTAAATAACTAAAGCGTGATACTTTTCTTGGGGGGGAGGGGGGCACATTTAAGGTCATGATGATACTGTATGTTTACACACCATCAGGTGTACAAATACTATGTTGGCTTCAGGTAAAAAAGTGCTGATTAAAAACCTTGAAAGCTATGACAACGGATGGGCTGCAAAAGAAGAATTACAGCAGATGTTCACTCTGTGCGAAATCTGGAATTAAACTCTACTTCCACTGTTAAAGAGTCCACATAAAGATGGGATATGCGTCGATTTATTGATTGAATGATCTTACTTTTAAAATGGTGTTGAATTTAACCAGACATGGCAGAAAGAGGGGGAAACATTACCAGTTTCTTTCTTTGGAGGAAACCTGTCCTCCAAATAACTGTCATTATTATGTATTGCATGAGCTATATCATGACTTCAAAACATGATTTGATTGATTTCCAAATCTTGTATGGTGGTGAAGCAATTAATCAATATCTCAAATAAGTTCATTTGCTTTAAACCAGAGAAAAGGTTTGTCTTATTTATGAAACTAAGCACTTCAAAGGTCATTGGAAATATTGAATTTGCTCGGAGGAATAAAAGCAATTTAATGGACAAAGCATTAATAATTGTTACAATTACTAGACCATTTCTAATGAAATGCAATGATTATTATATGATGACCTTCCTTGATGTTGATGTAATTAACATTTAAAATGCAATCATTCCTTTTGATGAATATCAAGAATGTACGGCACATGCATAATTATTATGAATATTCGTGTCATATTCACCAAATCAGGATAAACAGATACGATTCTATGTAATGCTGCACATGTCAAGAACGTATTCTGCCAAATATAAAAAAAAAACAATGTGTGACAACTTGGACAGCCTTGTACAACTGTAGTTAGATTTGCAAATCTCTGTCACATTTTTGTGCTATAGTAATCAGGGATCAGACTGCACACTACAGATAAAGTCACCGGTGCTAACTGGGAATCTTTGAATGAAAGTACAGTATACTGTAGAATTTGTAAGGGTTATTAAAGGGGAAGTGAAAATTTACAGCACTCCAGCTAATTACAAACGCGGTGAGCACTCTTTGTCTTTAGATAATGCAGCTCCAGGTGTGATTTTTTTGACACCCAGTAAGTCCAGACGGATCCTTATCCCTTTAATTACCATGATTATCATGCAGGGCTAAAAGGCATTTCTCGAAAGAAGCCAGGGTACGAGCTTCAGCAGTAAACCTGGGTAACGTATTGTGTACTCTGACACCTTTTCTAATCCGAAATGCCTCCTGCTTTAAGTTTTAAATGCAGTTTCATGTGGTTCCTACTTACTGTATGTTCTCTGGCTCACTGTTTATTCTGTGCACTCCTTGGATTTTGTCAGTGCCATTTAACATTTTGAATACGTCTATCAGGTCCCATCAAAATCCTCTCTATTCAGGACAAATTAAGGTCCAGTTCTTTTCAGGTTTAAAGGGTAGGGATTATTCTAAAGCATCTTAATGCACCTGGTTTCCCTTCTCTGGACTAATTCCATAATGGCAATATTTTTCTATAAAGTGGTTACCAGCACTGCACACATTATTCTAAACGAGGCCTTATAAGTAAGATATGAAAAACTGATCACAGCATTCCACTCCTTGAATTCGGAAATCATCTATCTCCCTGAAATCTCCATGCTTAGGGTTAAACTGAACCAGACATACAGTATCCAATCCAACAGGATTTGTGGCTTTGACAGGTATTGTCCTTAACATGTCTAATAAAATCTCATGAAAGGCACAATTTGCAAATTTATTTATTTCAGTTGAATGCCAAAGGCCCTTTTCTGTTTTCAGCCTATGAAGAATGGCTTTTTCGCAGTTTGCAGGCAGGTGAGAAAAAAAAACTGCCAGGATGACAGATTGATGAAAACGGAGTTTCAATATTTCTAAAGACACAAAGTAGAAGGTGACTTCAGATCGCCAATGTGGTGATGCAGAAATTATGATACGAAAGACTACTGCTTTAGCATTTAAAAGCTGTGAAATTTGTGAAGCGCAATGTGTTAATGTGATGCTCTGGGACTGAGTTCCTGCCACTGCAAATTATTTAGCAGTTAAACCTCCCTGTTTAAATTTTTGGACCTGAAATAACAATAGTTTAAAGTATAGTTTATCCTTTTTTTAACTGCTTTATTCAACACAGGGGCACAGTGGAGCAACCAATCCAACACAGGGGACACACAGACACACGAGGGCCAATTTTACCAGCAGCCAATTAACCTACCAGCATGTCTTTGGATTGTGGGAGGAAACCAGAGCACCCAGAGGAGACCCACACAAACGCGGTGAAAACATACGAACTCCACAGAGATAGCACCCGAGTAATTGAACCCAAGGCTTCAGTAATCACTCTGGCGATTGTTTAAATCTTTAAAAATCCTGTATAGGTCTAATTTAGAAAACAATCAGGTTAATTAATTAGCTCCTCAGGTTGAAACAAAAAAAACAAACTGACGACACAGAGCCCCTCAGGAACTGAGTCTGGGACTCCTTATTTAGAGTTTAGCAGATTCGCCAGAGTTTAGCCCCACTGTGCCTCCGGTAAAGTAGACGTTTTTTTACCAAGGTAAAATATTAAAAAAAAGGTAAGAAATGCAACATTACAGTACATACAGTACCTGGTGGAAGATCATTTGTAGGGAAACCATTGAGCGGTTTTTCTTTGACAAACACACCACGATTAAATGGGTTTAACTGACGGGCCAAGATGATCTCATTCAACTTCTTTTGGAGAGAGAGATAGTCTTCGGAAAATCTGTTGATCTAGATCAAGAATGCAAAAAGCCTGTTAGATTTTTAATAAATGGTCCCAACAAGTATTGATCATCTGCAAGATGATTTCACAGTTTAATACCATTCTCTTTCACAAAACGTACAAGTGCCTAGGCTGGTGAACACACTTCACAAAAGTGGGACTGTCAGCACTGTGAAACCCACACCATCCAAATATCTAGAGAAAAGGCTTTTGATGATCTGCACATCTTAAAATAATATCTAAAACTGAGAACAGCAGTAAAGAAGGCTGTCAAAGATTATATTGCTAATGAAAATATGCAGCAGAAGACGATGTAAGACAATCAATTGATTGATTTGGAGCCAATAACCAAGACTGTCAGCACACCTACAGTACACCTTTAGGGGAAGTCCTAGTTAAAAAGGTCACGTCCACAATACAGTAAGTAAAAGAAAATAAACTGCATATCTATAAGCACTCCAAACTGTCTCTTGTTCTTTGCTATGTAATTGTTCACTACATAGTTTATCATTTTCTTTCAAATAAGCCAATCAAATACAAACCAATGCCCTCTGCAAAACATTCCCACTTATTCATGTACAGTGTTTTGTTCAGAAACCTATCAGGTGCGGAGTCCTGCTCTCAAACCTGAAGACACATTGGGCAGCATAATATTATCTCAGATCAAAATTTATAAACATTATTTTTTTCAGCTTTCAGGTTTTCAGAATTCTCTATTTCAAAGTGTTCCAAACCATAATTACCATAAATAACCTAAAATTCACCTAAAACCATGTAAATTGAATATCCTCTACAGAATATTTTTGGACCAGATAATGTTCAGTGTCTTACTTGTTTAGAAAATGTCTCAAACTCCTCCCTCTCTCTGGCTGACACCTCCTTGAGGTTCTTCCGATCCTTGTAGCCTCTGAAGTTGCTCTGAATCCTGACAGCAGCCTGCTCCTCATCGAGCTCTTCCTCCAGACTCTGCGCCTCACGGACAGGATCCGCACCTGGGGGCTCGGAGGCAGAGTTCCCTTGCCTTGCCATTTCATCTGTCCCGGCCATTTCCCTTTCCTCTTTCAGCTTCTTCCTCTCTCGGTGGCCCCGGAAGTTACTCTGAATGACCGTCGCTGCTTTCTCCTCGTCGAGGCCCTGCCCATCACTGGGCGGCTCTGGCTCTTCCACGACAGTCTCAGGTTTGGCCTTCGCCGATTCCCTTTTCATCTCCCGTTGGCTCTTCTTTGGTATTTTTCCTTCCTCCTGCAGCCTCTTCCTGTCCTTGTGTCCACGGAAGTTGCTCTGGATGACGACGGCTGCCCTGGTTTCCTCTTCCTCGTTTGCTGTCTCGTCTGCGGTCCGCTTGTCATTCAGCTCCAGCTCAGATTTTCCCGACTCTTTGCCTGGCTGTCGGCTTTCCTCGCCCGCCGTCCCCTTCTTTCCCCTTGGGGGAATTTTCCCCTCTTCCTCGAGCCTCTTCCTTTCCCGGTGTCCTCGGAAATTGCTTTGGATGACAGTGGCAGCCTTGGCCTCCTCCTCCGTGTTGGCTTCCTCGTTCCCAGGAAGGGTATGCGACGCTTGTTCAAAGTCATCCTCTTCCACGGGGGGAGGTAAATCATCAAAATCATAGTTTTTAAGCTCACGTTCCTGCTTCAAGCGCTTCCTGTCTCTATAGCCCCTATAGTTGCTCTGAAGGACAACGGCTGCTTTGGCCTCATCATCTTCACCACTCTGTGGCTGGCTGCCCTTCTCAGTGTTGACACCTGCTGTCTCTGGCTGCCTTTTTTCTTGCATAGCTCCCTCTTCTGGTGTCTCCTGAACAGTCTCTGCTGGTTGCTCTTCCTTCTTCATAGCTTCCCTTAAGCAAGAACAGAGGCGATATGTAACTAAAAGCAAGCACCCGGGTTCTCATTAAAATTTGCAGTAGAGCAGTCCTCACATGTAGATTCAAGCAAGTTGAAAAAGAAATCAAGTTTTTGCTGTGTAATTTACCTTAGTTTTTTCACTCCTTTAATATTTAAAATTCAATTAAAAAAAACTCAGTATACTGTACACACACAAGCCACCAGAGGTTGTAGTTTTTTGGCTAAATATAGAGACAGTAAAACTGTACAAATTTATTACATTTAATTTATTTTTCAACTTCATCCGCATTCCATATAATTTGGTGTGCACTCATGAAGGAACTGTCACATCTAAGAAGGCAGGCACAATTAATATTAATGAAAAACATATACAATGACAACAGAAACAGAGATAAGGATTTTTAGAAAAGACTGGATACTCAAATCCCTAAAGTCAAGAAACAAATGCTTAGAATGTGTAGAGATGGAGGAAGGAGTCCTACTTTTTTCTTTTGAAGCTCCTCCTCTCCTTGTGTCCTCTGTAGTGAGCTTGGATCTTTACTGCAGCTTTATTTTTTTCATCCACTAATTCCTTGTATTTCTTCCTGGCAAGATATCCTCTGCAAGCTAAAGAAAATAATTTAAAAAGCACATTATTATATTGATGCGATTTTGAATAGCAAGCAGAAGTTAAGGACCGTGCCGTGGGTGTGAACTCACTTTGAAGACAAGCAGGAAATACGAAATCTGAAACATGCCACTCATTACTTTGTTCTTAACATGTAGGTGTACTATTCACACTGCACACTGCATGGATTTTAGATGGCTAAATCATCTTACCAGCTTGGAACTTGGCGATAAAAGTCTCATTCTTAGACTTATTTTTATCACCTGTGTACTCCTTTCGAACTTTGTATCCTCTGTAAGCTGATGGAAATAGGTTTAAACAGAATACAACTAGTGATTAGTCTAATAATAATAATAATAATAATAATAATAATAATAATAATAATAGTAAATATATAAAATATTAATGAAGTCATGCACGATTATTCTTCCATATATAATAATATTTTATTATACTGACCAGTATTGATCAGATTATGGGATCTGATAAGATCTGGCTAGCAGGTGGTGATGCCTCTGCCACATTACCATCAAAAGCACAGCAGGCATTCTTTTTCCTCCCCAACAAACCCTGTGTCTGGGCATGGATGTGTAGCGAAGATAATTACCTGACTGGAGAACCACAGCGCTTTGTTCTCTTTTTTCTTGCATTTTGCGGTATCGTTTGGCACCCAGCCAGCCCCGCACACAGGCCTGAACCAGGATGATGCGGTCCACAGTCTCCTTTATCATCAGGTTAAGCTGCTCGACATGGTAGTACTTCAGGAACACCTGGTCAGATCACACAGCACACAACGGAAAAAAAAAAAGACAGTAAGCCGAGTCTCCTTTTTTCACGCTGAACTGAACAAGGTTGATGTTTTTAGCCTGCAGTGTGTTTAAGACTCCAAGCTCCAGCTATTCATCACGAATTCAACATTGCCCACGTATTAAAAAAAAATCTCTTCTGAGGAAAGGTTTTATCATACCCATAGAAATGGAAGATTTTAAGTCTTTTCAAAAACTAGAAAAAAAGGATGAAAATTCAAATGAAAACAAATGATGTCTAAGAAATAGAAAATGGTGAACTCAGGATGCAAAACAGTAATAAAGACTATTGGAACAGAAAGACCTTTTCAAATGGATAAAGAAGACACCACCACCAAGACAAGTGAATTCACATTTGAAAAGTGGAATATTGTAGCATGCTGCAAGTCATCTACTTGACCACGGCAAACAAGAGTTACCAAAAAAAAAAGGCTAAAACTTAAAAAAGAAAGAGAAGCAGATCTTACTTTTGTCTTGCCCAGAACCCAGTTCTCCAGTTTAGCTTTCTCTAGTATTACAGCACAGGTGTCAGGGCTCACAGGAGGGTCTTCATTCGATCGGAAAGCTAGAATCAAGTACCTAGAAGAAAAAAATCTCACATGGATCTTTCAAAAACAAAATCAATGCTCAGAGGCTAGGGAAAGAGTTTTAAATTGCGTAGCAAATAAACTCGTTGGACTTGTTAAAAAGATATGTACTGAATAAACTATATATGTGTCAAATGTCCTGAGAAAGAAACAAGCTAAAGGACAGACATGATTCAATATACTGTATAGAGAGGAATATTGTGCAATATGGGTGAAAAGCAAACTAAGAGTAGAACAAAGCTAAAAAACGTAAATTATTCTCACCTTTTGATAAAGTTTGCAAAAAGAATCCGATGAGAATAGCCTTGTCTTCGAATTTTAGCAGTTTCCAAGACACCTGTGTAGCGAAGCTGTACGAGAACCTTTTCCCTGTCAAACTTGCTGGCTTGACGGTCATTGTTGGGCTTAATGCAGCGGACAAAATGGGGCTGACCTGCCACCATCTTAGACAGGAGGTCCATGAGGGAATACTGAAAAACAAACAACGCAATACGAAAAACTTCAGTCAGGGAAAGTGATTCAGTGAAACCCCTCCAGTGACTAAGAGGTACAACATTATCACTGAAGGGCATAACCATTAATCTTTGACGTTTCTGGGTCCATCCCAAAAACCACATTTCTAAGAGGGAAGAGATGATCAAGGAAGCCTCACAGTAGCTTCCAAAAGGTCATACAGCAAATCTATATGTAGAGAATTGTAATGGAAAAACAGAGTTCCAGTGTCAGTCGGGTCAAAAGAAACAAATCCTTCTACATTTGTGGTGCACAAAGAATACCATTAAATACGGCTTACTCCAGGGCTCACATTATGTTCCTGGGCCATAACAACGCACATATTATTTGAACAAATAGAACATCTACATACTGTAGGCAAAGCTCCAAAAAAAGGATTTTTTAATTAGTTCTTTAATTGAGCAGTTTACCATTCAATACAAGTTCTAAAGGATTCATTAGATTTGTGCAGATAATCAGACTTTGTGCAGACATGGTAGTTCAAGTAGGGAGCTGCAAAGGAACAAGTAAAGGTTTATGCCAGGCTGAAAAAGGAAGAAAAACACAATGTTTCAGCTGTGGAGTCTTCTTCAGGTGCAGACATTACCACTTAAGGAAAATATATTTTGAACATACTGTATTTTTTCAACATTCTAGGAACCACCAGGAAATGTGTCCCTTTTCCTGCATAATTCTGTGTTTTGGAACAATAATAAAAGAAGTGAGGGTTCTAATGCAGAACAATCTATTTGCTAGGCATCAAAGGAATCACCTATCTAAACCAAAGTCATAAACTCTTAATCAGAAAAATAACAATGTACTTTGTCACAGATGCACAGCCATTTTATTGATCAGACAAGACACGGGTATATTCATTATGCTTGTCATCTACAGGGTTAATCAAGAGGTGGTAAACTGTGAAAGTAACTGGCTAGTGGCATGTTTGGCCAGTACTGGAAGTAATGGAAACTGTAAAGAACATCTTGCTTTGGACCACAATGCAGACGTCTTGTGGGATTCTGTGCCATTCCTCTCATAGACTGGGGACAAGTTTGCCTGTTCACTGGTCTCCGGTTCTACAGGTCATTAGGTGCCACAGGTCATTCCAGTTCGTCTCACAAAGCCTAACGACCAGGGCATCCATAACGCCCACATTCGTTTCTCGCAAGAAAGCTGTTGATACATGAGGAGAAGGCATTGTCCTGCTGGAATGATGTCACATCAGGATGGTCCTAGAGGAGGGGCAGCAGGTGAGATCCGAGGGTTTGTCTAATGTAGCACCATAATGTCAGGTTGTCATTATGTCACGAGAAGTAGGAACTCAACGCTCATGTTGCATTTAGATCATCCCTTTGGTTTTGGTGAGGTGTTGTGACTCATGATCTCTCAGATCTTGGCCTTTTACTTAAGAAGTGGTCTTCAGTACACATGGTACTTGCTTGGGTACAATATCTTGGGTCAGAAATTGCTGAGTGTGACACCCTAGGTGGTAAGTGACAGAGGACACCAACCACTAGTCTCCAACCTATTAAGGGCACAAAGATATTCTTAATAAGATGGGTAAACTGTTTTCTTGCAATTGTTGTCTTTCACAGGTTAAATCTGTTGCATGAAGGAAAAAGCTCACTTGTTCTTGATTTTCAGTATGGATGCAGATCAAGAAAGTTGGGCCTCGTGACTCTTCTATCTCTTTGATTTTAAGCAGGTGGCAAAAAGTGACCACAGGAAAAAATGGCTTTTGGAAGCCAAACATACTAACATATCACTTTCTGATCCTTCACTGCAGGCTGGTCCTATCATTGTAAAGAAGAATGCACAAAGCAGTGGATGATTCACCCACAAACATAGAAAGTTAGCTTTACCTACCTCCTGTTTGATGTGTTGTTGCAATAGTAATCCTGCACAGTACGAGAGAAACCACATGTTTAGACATCTGGTGTCTGTGCTTGCCTGAGGAGCCAATGGAGTGAAGCTCCCATCTGTGGGATTATGATTAAATGCCTCTAAGTCAGAATTCCCCCTATAGGGAATAACAGTTCCTGCAGTAAACCTTTGTAGGCTAGTAGCACTTGTCCATTCCATGAAAGCTGTTTGTGGAAACCCTTGAAATGTATTCCTAAGAATTAATAAATGTTCTTTAAGGATTAGTATGAAAGTGACTGTGGGACCATGTCCACACTGAAGACAGAAACCTGAGCCACAAAGGAAATATTTAAACAAACTGTGCCTCTTACTCGGAAATAAGACGCCACGGTTTGAGTTCTCATGTTGGTTGTCTCTCTGGGATGGTGGACCGACTCTCCACTGTCACCCTGAACATGAATAAAGCAGTCCAACAAATACACTATCAATACAACAGATCATCTTACATACAATGCATATGCATAATACTAAGCAGACAAAATTGTTTTACATTTTACAGAACTAAAAATTCACAGAAATAAAAAAAGAATTAATGCCAGGAAAAGCTCATGTCTATTCTAAAGCCTACAGTGCTGTGTGGGATGGTGAAAGCCATTAAAGCTCGTTTTATGCAGTACAGATGGAGGGAGAAAATGTTATTACCTCACAGACTGATAATGAACTGAACAACACAAGCATTTCCATCTTTACAAGAAGAAACCAGGAAAGCGAGAGACAGGGAGGACACTTGAGGTTAATTGGTCTGAGAGTGAACATAAAAAACAGAGGTTCATATGCTTCCAAACAAATATTGACACCACACAGAAAGAAGCATACCTTTGACACATTGATTGAGTGCTGTGGGGTGCAATTTCTGATGTTTCCCACACCTTTACCCTTGGTATGGGCGAGGTTACCTTCCAGGAAAGAGGAGAAGGATACACTTAGAGGAAAATCCAATTTGGAGGAAATTAAAACTCTGACCCACTAGGCAATCACAAATTCTAAACTCAAAATGTGCTGTGACAACTTTCCACTCTGTAAGAAGCCGCTTTGAAATAACAGGAAGATTAATATCTGGGATTTAGGAGTGGAGGGCAAGTCAAATATTTGATTTAGCTCAGACTTTCATCAAACAAGTAAAGGCCGATTTAGAAACACATTTTAGTAAGTACTTAGAAAATGTCTTTTGGGCCTAATATATTACTAAGGAACTAATAGAGGCTAATTTCACCCTGCAAAGCAAACAGAAAAAAATGTTTTAGCTTTCTTGGGGTGTATTAATACGCTATCATTAATATGGATGAAGTAATTACAGTATTACTAATCTGTGAATGTCTAAGCAGAAAATATAATCCCTGCTATCTAGTGTTTTGCTCACATTGCTTTTAAATAAACTCAGAAAGGTTGTTGCTTGCCCATAATTACAACTAAAATGGAACAGTCAAACTACTCATTTCAATAGGTACAGTACTAAAACCATGCATGCAGAGAATGTTAACGAGGAAGTCTTTTGTTTAATTTTCTACACTATGTTATGATCATTAGAGGTAAAACCCATGCCAAGAACTGCAGCGAGTTGGCATTATTATTTGAAAACATGTATATTGAAAAAATAAAACAAAAGTGAAGTGGAGTATTTATTGGTGCAGTGGTGTGTGTTACAGGATATATCACTAAATAGCATAACCAGCAACAATCTGTGCAGTCAGTTGATTGCTCTTTGCTCGGCAAAGCCGTGTGGTAAATATAATAATATTTAAAGAGAAAGACAATTTTGTTAAAAATATATACTGTGCAAATCCTCTGATGTCTAAATTCACCCTCTGCAATGCTATTTATAGCAAAATTAAGAGGGTGAAACAGAGGGTGTATTTAGACATCAGAGAATTGGTACAGTATCTTGAAAAGTGTTGATCTTTTTTCTTTAATCAGTTGCCACCGTTGGGTCACCATGGATGCACTGTAGTCCCAATTATCTGGTTTGGTCTTCTGGTGTAAATGTCAGGAGCTCTGCATGAACCTCCCCACCAAACACACTGTGCACAGGTCCTGTACTGCTCGGGCAGACTCACAGTCTGTGACATGTCCCCTCCTTACGTCATTTAGAGAGATCTTAATCGTCTGTAACAGCACATCTCCTCATGCACCAGTGCGTATGTACAGTAGCAGCCCACATGGGGATATGTGTATGGTAGAAATGTTCAGGCAAGATTTTATTGAAACCTCACTCTTGTATATTCATATATAGCCAATGATCTTTATCTTAATGGCATACTGCACATAATAACCAAATGTTTTCCAAATATTTCTTGTGCTGAACTGGTGGTGTACAGTAGATATACTTGTAATGGGTTTTACTGTGTTGGTGTGATGACTGACACAAGCCAGAGGTTAAAATGGCATTAAGACCTAAGCAATGCAGGACTGCAGAACGTACAGCATGCTGCGGATATCACTGATACTGTATATCCCAGTGCTGCACACCAACGAGTCCAGCAATCACCTTTACCCACTCAGGAATTCATCCGGCTAAAAACTACGTATGGATGACAGGAAAAAAAAGAATTTGGTCGGGAAGGCAACCCACAGCGAGAAACGAAAAAGAGCACTATGGTTTAAAGAACTGGAGGGAAAAAAAGTAACATTTACAGTATTGTTCAAGCTTTTTAACCTTTTGTGCTGAAAAGTTTAGACTGCTTTAACTGAAAAATGTCCCCTTTATCTCAATTAGCAAGATATACAAGTGAGGGGTGGATAAAAAAGTTCTCACAAAATAAAATAGTCATGCATTACAATCTACAATCAATAACAAGGCATCAATTAAATCCCTGTGGGGTTTCTGCATTAGTTGTTAGTGCACTGCGAAGCCTGGCAGAAACTCATCCCCTCCATGATGCAAGCCAAGCCTGGAAGGGAAAAGCCCAATTTTGTCCACAGACTGATGGCGGGGATAATGCCTGGGCACTGCAGCTGGGTGACTCATTCTTCAGGGATTATGCATGATTGACTCCCCAGTGCAGTGCCAAAGGGCAGAATACAGAGTACAGGCTTTGAAGCGCATTTGATTTCACAGGGTCAGATGAGTGACAACGCTGAAGGGGCAACAAGCGATTTAGTTTCTGTATTAGTGAGTATTGATTTTGAATGTGTTGTCCTCCTTGGCATTGACAAGTACTCACGTGGCACTGACCAGCCATTCATATAATTAGACTGGCATCTTTTTTCAGAAGGACGCACTGGAAAAAGCAAAACCGACTTGTTTGCTGGCGTTTCACAATGTTCACAGTGAACAAAACCCGAACAATCTTTTTACCTGCCTTTCAAATGGTATTTTTCCTATGCGATTTCAGAGCACTAGTTAAATCGAGGTCCAGCTTACTCGAGCCTTTAACGATAATTTCCATCTGTTTTCAGCTTGAACTATAAATGTTATGAGCTGCTGCAGATAAAAGGAAAGGCATTAAACCCAATTATCCCACTGCAGTCTTTTCTGTTAGAGTGCTGGGCAAATGCTGGGCATTTGCAGTGCTGGGCATTTGCAGCATAATATCTGAAGAAAATAAGGTACCTGGAATTTAATTTTCTCACATTTTTTTAGTGACATGAAAAGATGTTCCTAAAAATGACAAACTTATGCGCTACCTCTAACACTTCAGGTGCTGCACAGGAATGCATCACTGTATACAATATATGATTTTGAGACTGAAACAAGGAACCTTGTACAGTCTATTTTCTTAATGAGTACATTAAGAAAGAGAAGACTATACGCACATGATAGAAACAACCATGCATTTTTTTTCTTGGCTTCTTCAGATGAGGTAAAAATGTGATTAAACAATGTTGATAGATTACTACCGTTCAAACTGCATTTCTCCTGTGTGATTCATACTGAATCTCTAGTTATATTTAGGTTCTTGGACAGAATTTGGTAAAAATGTTCTTGCACAGCGAGCATTAGGGTATGAAACAAAACTGCTTTCCTAGTTAATTTTCCATCACAATAATTCACTGGACTACTGAAATGATCATTTTCTAGGCTTTCCTTTTGGATTCCTGTTCCGAAGTCTTACCTGTCTTTGTGAGAGGGTGTGTGACAAGCTTGCGTATCAGGTCATTTTCTGAAGACCTCAGCAGAAGGACAATATCTGCTGGCAGGGTATCCCTGTTCTTTGCAAGAAATCCACTTGCATTGTAGAGAACCTATGATAATGGATGCAGACAGTAAGCATTCACTCACTAAAGCAATTGTATCTGTTCTCAGAATTACAGCAAAGGCTTCTATACATATAAGAGCAATTACCTTTCCAGCATAATGATGGATTCCAAAGCTTAAATCGACCCGTTTCGGTCTCCAGAAGTTTTTGGATTGCAGGTTATCTTCAAACTTTTCTAAATACACAAAAAGAGGAAACCAATCTGCTGTTTCTTACAGATGGATGATTTGTGCAATTTTACATAATTCAGGGTACGTTCAAAGGCTAAACAGTACAACTGCTTGTACAGTTTGATGATTTCAATACATTAAAGCATAAGCCAGGAAAACACAGGGCTGTACTCATAAATACTTTTCCACAATCCATTTGCTTTTAAAAAGCAAAACATAAACAGTTATGCATAAGAAAAAGAAACATTTGATCTTTCAACTGAAGCTCTCAAATCAACATATTGAAGAAAACTGTGAGTGTTCATAACTTCATTATGATGTTTTCTTCATAGTGTTCTTCCCGAGTGTTACTTCAGATGTCCTGTCAGGAGCTGTTTTATGGCCCAAACATCCCTTCATTCATTTTCTAACAGCTTTACCGATAGAGGGTTGCTCGGGAACCAAAGTCTGTTCCAGCAAGCAACAAGGCCCAAGGCAGGATACACCCTGGATGGGACACCAGTCCATTGTAAGGGGCCAAAACATCTCAGGGGCTATTTGCTGAATGAATTAAACACTGTTTCTTAGGTTTAAAATATTAGAACAATTGCTGGGCTGTATCTGAACAACTTGCCTATGAGGGTCTGATCTGTGGCTTGAGGAAATCGACTCTCCTCATCCAGCAGTGAGAGCAATCCCATTGGCTTCTGAAGAAACATGTCAAGCAGAGGTCGATTGTCCTCATATTCAATCAGTCGGGCGTCCACATCTTCATTCAGGTATTCATTCTGACAGGTAAGAGCAGAGACATTCGTTCCACACCCTTGCTTGAACTTTTGGTCAATAACAATCTGCTTCAGCAAGAGATTATAGAGCTTTAATTATGCTGCGCCACATCATTCTACACATTCTGTTCTAGTGATAATGCATTTTCGAGGTTTAAAAGAGAGTTTTAAAGAAGTTGAGAGTTTAAAAAGCCCATTCAAAAATTAACAGAGTAAGTATTTTAGTGTGAAAGTAGCATTTAACTGTTACTCAAGGATGCTGGTTGAAAAAAATATAATAAAAAGGGGGATATTTGCAAAATAGTGCCAAGAAACAAAGGCACGTGTTTTAAGGTTACCCAAAGTACAAATAATGCAGTGCAGGTGTCAAGCACAGTGTTTACCAGGGACTGTGGACTGTGACATTTTGCACACATGAGAAAAAAAGTGCAGCAGCAGAAAGTACGAGGTGGCTTTTCAAACCCTCCAGGTTCTGATGCACACATGTCTAAGGAAGTTAATTTCTGAAATAAAATACAACTTCTAGCCTAGGGGAAAGCCATTCTGCCACCTCAAAATGACCTCTTTTTGGACATAAAAACGATTGTTTTTGATATCTGGGCCCGAGAGGATCAAAAACAAGAAACAAAGGCTGTGCTCTAAACAGCCCTCAGATTATTTTGTCCTTTGGATACGAGCATCAGGTCTAACACTACTATTTTTCTACAATCTTCTTGTGGAACAAACTTATCAATTACTTTCCACTGTCAAATGTCATTTAGAAGTATACGTTTACAAATATATACTGTTACATAAATCAGTGAAACACCAGAACCATTCTCCTGTTATTTCCAGTACTAATTTCATTTTCTACTTCACATTTTTATCATACATGAGTCCGTATTGCAGATTCACAGCAGACACCCTCAACAACACAAAAGGCATGAGCATACAAATGAAACATTTTATGACTATCTGAATGACACTTTAGGCAATATGTATTTTGAAGATCTGGGGTTTTGTGTTTTTTTATCTTTGAACAGCCACATAGTTTCAAGCAGTTTCCACCACATGAAGAACTCAAAATGCAGCACACAAAATTCAAAACGGTAAGTATATAAAGTAATGCCTGCATCTTATCTAGGGACTGACTAATGTGCAGAAATCACTGACAAGTTCTGATAAGAGGAAAACCAGATTTTGGAGTGATGTAAATGAGATTGAGATGCTACAGTCAAAAGAAACACTGCCCTCCCTCATTTATATCAATATACTGTAGTTTTCATGGTTTAAAATGGTAAAAAAAAGTACTAATTCTTTAAGGATCCATGTACATGTAGGTTAATGTACTATTAATAATTCTATAGGATGACCACAAGCATTTCATACCTGTTCCCAGGCAAATATGTGTTGATTGAAGTAGAACTGAATCTGTTCATTTGCAATGTTAATGCACAGCTGCTCAAATGAGTTCCTCTTGAAGTTCTCAAACCCAAATATGTCAAGAATCCCAATATTAAGACCATTGTCCTCTTCACTAGGGAGGATAAATAAAGACAAATATGTAAGACATTTTAAAGAAGAAATACGGGGCTTCTAGTGTAGCGGCATCAGGGTTAGAAAATTACACAGGAATTTCACATACAAACACTACATAGTATAGGTAAACTGTTCTGACATGACTAAAATAGTCAATGAACAGGGGTTAATCTTTCTAGTCTTTCTTTACTTTCATAGTAAAGTTACTTTTTGCACAGATTCTCAAGCCGAGATTGTGGTCACGTGAAATACTTTAAAAAAATACATGCAGTTTTTCCATGCTTAGCTCGCATCTCAAAGGAGTCAGCATGATGAATGCCATTGCTTTCGATTTGGTGTTGAAATTTATTTTTATACCAAATTAAGTACTCTCAAACAAAGTCAATGTTGTGATTTATGAATACTAAACACTTTACTGCCAATTTAGAAGACTGTTTTGCTGAATCTAGAGAACTGAAGTGAGATTTGGTAACAATTTCGTGTCAAATGTCACTAGCAACAGATCTAGTGACTTGCATTATGGTAACCATGAATTTTAGATATGCTGTACAAATCACCACATTGTTAAGTGTTAGTAGTATATCCTTATACAATAAAATACAACCAGGATACTTTTAGTATCTTTACATTTGTGATGTATCTCCCTTTCACCTTGTTCATAGAACACATTACGAAGGCAAACATTTGTGTAATATTATTAAAATTTTCATTTGTTGCATACTGTATATAAGGGATGAACAATAAGATTACTGCATATTATATACTGTATTATTATAAAACACATAGTTACTGTTTGTTATGTATTATTACATTATTTAATAGATTTAAAACATAAAGATAATCTACTTTATTGCGTTTTATGTTTTAACAATCTGACAAATTTTGTTAAAGAAATGTTTTGAAGCTGATCCAGCAATTTTCAGACCCTGAAAGTTGACAACACTGGAACTAAAGCAGGCTTGTGGTCCTGTTCTGTCATATCCGGCATTTCTAGCCACTCTGCATTGTTGGCGCCCATTAGGCAATTAGCTGGTTACTACCAATAACAAAGAAAATAAAATACAGTGCGCAACAACCATCAAGAAAGTAAACAAAAACCCCATCAATGCCTTATTATAAGTTACCGTGGGTTTTATAATCTGTTTGAAAGACTGAGGTAGATGCACCTCATTAAAATTAACACCAAAGGGTTCCAGAGTGCCTCAACTCGGCCCGTTCCGTTGATAGATCACGCGGAGACTCTGAATCCCAGGATGGTGGGTTCCATTTGTGTTCTTATGCAGAAGCAGTAACAGAGGGATGGAGAATGTAAGGGTACTGCAGAGCTCAACTCCTGCAATAGATGCTACCTCTAGGAGCGCCACTGTGAGAGATGCGGAGGCTTACTGAGGAGGCCCTGGCCTCCGTTGGGCTGAGGTAGCGCCAAAGATGAGGGGATTGCTAACCGTTACATCCCAAGGGGGAGATGGGGTGCCGTCATTTTTGGGTATTCCACATTCAATGAGCAAAATAAACCGAGAGCTGAAATTGTCTGTTGAATCCAGAGATCTGAAGTGGGATTTGATAACAATTCTGTGACAAAAGTCACTCGCAGCAAATCCAATGGTTTTCATATGGATATGGAAAACCATTAGATCCGATTTTTAAAATATATATGGATATATATCCATATATACAGTATATATCTATATATATCCATTTCATATGTACGGCAGAGAATTTTAGATATTAAAAAATCACCAAATTGTTTAGTATTATCCTCTGCAATGCAATACAACCAGAGTACTTTCAGTTTCTTTACATTTCTGATATAACTCCCTTTCTATTGAGAAAACAGTAGATGACAAATCCCGGCGCTGTTCTGGTTCAACAGAGCTGCTCACTGTCCCTTTCTTACCTCAGCTGGGTGTAAGGCTTGAGTAATGTATTGATGCGGTTCACTATCCAGCTAAAGAGGCGGCCGAACAAGGCCTTGCCCATGGCGTCTCGAACCTCCGCGGCCTTCTCCACGGTGTTGGGCCGGACAATCGTTTCTCCTCGAGTGACCACACAGTGCGAGGTGAGTGCCTCCTGGAGCTCATCCGCCCGGATGTAGAGCAGAGATGCAGCTTCAAAAACGCAAAATGTTTGGGAAAAAAAAGCATTATTATTCTTTTAAAAATCTCTAGTCTCTCAATCTCTATAAATCTAATCAATACCTTTATTTTCTTACTGCTTCTTCCAATTCAGGTGGAGCCTATCCCAGAAAGCAACTAGTACAAGGCAGGGTACAGCCTGGACAGGACTCTGGTCCATCACAGGGCACACAGACACAGAGACAAACGCACACATACTCACACCAGCGCCAGTTTTCCTAGAAGCCAATTAACCTACCAGTATGTTCTTTGGGAAGAAATTAGAGGAAACCCACACAAGCACAGGGAGAACATGCAAACTCCACACAGACAGCACCCCAGGTCCAGAATTGAACCCAGGGCCCCAGCACTGTGAGGCAGCAATGCTCACCACTGCGCCACTATGCTGTCCTAGAGTAGATCTTTAGAGTTTTAAGACAGCTGAAGACAGAAACAAACTTTGAAAAGAGGCCCTTTGAACTGCCTGTATGATGGCTGGCCATGCACTGTACAGCTCACAAAAGATTTCTAGATAATTTCTATTTGTAAGGTCACTTTCTAAGGTCTTTTCTGAAAGCAATAATATTTTGTTCAAACACTATGAAACAAAGAACTCACCACTCTCAAGCATTGCGGTATTTGAGATATTGCTTTTGTCAGTCTGATGCTCGGAGGCGACTGATGTAAATTCAATATCACCTGCATTTAAAATGGCGGCCAGTATGCTGTAAACACTTCCCAGCTCCTGAACACACATGGGAAACATTATTAATGATGCAATTCTGTTCTCAAAAAGAATTTTCTAGAAAAGATTAAAAAAAGGGAAGAGCGTGGCCTCAAATAATGTCATTACACCTCTCAATCCCTCCAAGACAAAAGAAATCACAATATTTTGTTAGATGTTGTCAATGATCAGCTACATTTCTAGATTTTTACACACATGGTAAATTTCCCTGAATTCTGGTAATATTTCAGCACTTCGGTTGTTGTTTCTTAAGCTCCACATATTGTTATTACAATATAATTAAGTTACCCTTTATTCCCACAGCTATTAACCTGCTTAATTTGGACATTAAGACACAATATTTTTTGCTTTATATATTTTTTCACTGTGCGTGTATCTTATGTATCTCACACACTAATGACCCAATTTCTTTATTTGTTTAAGCATGTAGGTTAATGGGTTCACATTGTGTTAAATGTATTTTTTATTGTGTTATGTCTTTTATCTGCTTGCAAAGCTAATTGCCCATCTGGGACAATAAGGGAAGTAAGTATTGGATCAGATATTACTGTTAAACAGTGCAAGGATTTAAACTTGTGCTCAGCACTTCAGTGACATCCATCATACAGCTAGACATACAGTAGATAGTGTTGGGGGATTCAAAACAGCTCATTTTAAATACATATCAGAAGATGACTGCCACTTGGGCTGACTACCCTTGCTTACAAAATTAAAATATCTTCCCTCAACTGTAGTAATAGAGAATGGCATGTTATCTGTGACATCTGCCTTCTCATGCTCTTTCATGGCATATGGATTATCGTAGTGTGCTTCACATTAAGTAATAGCAAAATGCAGTGCACAATGTGTTTGATTTTTTTATTAATCGTGACATCTACTGTATATGTAAAATACAAAGCAAACAATGACACTATATTAAGTAAAAAATTAATTAATTAGAAGAGGACCAGACAAAATTATCATAGGTACCAGACACAGATTGTCTAATTAGGGAGCATTTCTGTGTCTGGTATTTTATTACACTAATTACAGAGCCTTGTCCTGCCTTGCGAAATGAAATCTACATAGATATTCATGCATCATCTCCTTGCCTGCAGCCACAAGAGTGCTGCTGGAGAAGTTCAGGACCTTTATCTTCTCTTGTTAGATAAACTTCCGTCTCAGTAATATCTCAGCTTCTAACCTTTGACTGGGTGTATGAAGAATTTAGAGGCACGCGTGGCAGATCGAAGCTTATTTTACAACTGTACAGGAGCAGCAGAGTTAAAAGCTTTCTAAAACGGACTTTATAAAGACACTGCAGCACTGCAGAGAGGGGAGGTTGTCACAGTTAACATGAGGCAGATGCAGTAATCCTTCAATTTCAAATGCTTTCATTAACAAAATATGCCAGGATAATAATAACAAGCAAGAAACTATTAGCTCACTGTTGGGATTGTGATTATATGATAAATGTTAATGACATACAGAACCCACAAGCAATTTGCTATTTTAAGCTTTTCGGTAAGCTGCGTTTAACTGTTTTATGCTAATTGTACATGTTTTTTCTACGTGATGATGTCAAAAAGGACTACTCATACAGTATATACTCTTTTGAAATAAGCAGTCTAAGCAAACAAGATTAACACTGTGACTAATAAAACCTTAATGGCAGTTGCCTGTGGACTTCTCTGAAAGAGCACAGCGCTTAATTTATTTATTTCTTGCATGAAGTAAATGAGCTCTTCTATATTTTTAAAAAGAGTGATCAACACAATGTACAAAAACACCTTTAAGTAAATGATGGGGAAGTTATGAAATACTAGTGAAGAATTAAATATTGTACGGTATACATTTTGAAACTACAGTTCAAATTAAACCAGTAAGTCATGTTTTTGCATTTGTTTCTCAAATCTGCCAGGCAAAGGGCTTTCTAGAATTTCCTGACATTTTTAATAGTTTTAAGAACAGAAGATAAGTAATGTACAGGTCTCTAAAACCATAAAAATATACATTTTGAGTAATACCACTGGATATTACTAAAATTTATCAAATATATCCAAAGAACTTCATAAAGAATAAGCTGAATCAGCCTAGACATCTGTTGCTAGACATTCTACATGCTTTCGACAAACCACAAGGCCATGTGGTAATTAATTTTATTTACAATATTTGAACATACCTCGAGTGTAAATCCTATGACTTTGAAGCACTGTTCAACTGAATCAAATTGCTCCTTATAAAATGCATTGTTCAAAATGTCAGGTACTAACTTAATGTGCTCACTTTCAAGGTACCTGAAAATATATAAAGAATGATACAGAAAGAATTACTATAGTTATTATTAAGAATAAAAGAGGAAGAAAGAAATACAACTTTAATGTTCCTGCAAAAATATGCTTTTCTCATTCTTACTTTGGAGTTTTGCTGTCAGACAGCTTGTAATGTGCTAGCTTCTTCCTTTCAGCCAGACCAGCATACAAATAATAAAAAATATGGAAGTTCTTCTCTCCTCTGTGAAGACAATAGGAAATCTTTAGTTACTTTTAGACATTTGGAGTTTAATTATATATTTCAGAAAGTGACAGGTAACAGTTTCAGTTTGAAAATGAAACACAGCTTACATTACAACAAATTTCCTTCTCATATTGGTAATTAACAGCAACATTTAAAAAATAACACAGTGCTTTGAAGTTTTCAATAATTAGAAGCAAAATTATTTTGTATTTTCCTGTGGAAAGCTGTGTTTCACCAGAGATGCCCATGGAATACATTTCTACTGTCTCTTTGGACTAATCTTTTCAACAGTTGGAAAAATACTAGACATTATAGTATGCTTAGAAAATGTCATTTAATGTTAATACATATTTTGTTTTTCCTTTTGGCATATGTACTTTTTTCATTCAAATAAAACACTTAAACATGATCAATCTTCTAAAGTCTGAACACAGCCTGTTTTCATCTATAAGCACAATTTATGGTCTTTACAGCTGACAACCCTGCATTTTAATCATCTGAACTTGCCTGCTTTTCCTAGGATTTCACAGCTGCAGCAATACTGTACAAAGTAGCAATGGGAATTGAGATAATTATTGCTAAATAAATATTGGATGACATATTACTGTATGTTTAAATAAATGCCATTTATAAAAAACTAATCATGAATAGTTCACAATTTTGTACAACTTACAAAAACCAATGTTAAAGTTATGATAAATTCCTTTTCAACATTTAATTTACGTTTTCTGTACTTTTAGAAAATGGATGGTTCAGTTGAACATAAAACTATTTTTTTAAGGTTACTTTATAAACAGTAGAATTTTTATTTTAATAAGATGGATTCAAGCCTGTATTTTTAACTTTGCTAATTTAAAAAATATTTTGGTCAATTTATAGCCAACATGGTTATAATGGAAAATAGTGTTTTTTCTTCTTGTAACATTTCAATACCTTCTGCAATATACAGTACTTATTTTATATGTAAAGAACTACCACATCAACAAAGTAGGACACTTTCTTATGTTAATCAACTTTCATTATACAGTAGTTGAGTTTTCTGCACTGAACAATTTTTAAAATAGATAACTACTTACAGTACATCTAGTAAACCAGATAAAACTGGTCTCTTTTATTCTCCAATACCAAGGCTGAAACATTTAAAATACACTTATGGGATTTTTTCCACAGAAAAAAGGAGTGCCCCATTAATGTTAATCAAGGATTAGAATTAAGTCCTGAAACTCTCAACATACAGTAAATCCTTTAGTAGATTTTTATTTGTCTAAATAAAACCTAGTTTTCACAAATAATAGGCTTGTAAGATCAACCTCTTTCTAAAAATGAAGTTTTGCATAACTGTGATTACTTGGGTGATGACACATTTCTGTGGGTATGAGCAATAAAGGAGGGATTAAAATTTTATTTTCAATATGTAAATCCCCTTTCTGAACAACTTGCGATACCAAAACATTTTGTTTGCAAAAAAAAAACATGGACTCCGAAAAAAGAAGGAATTCTTCATCTTGTAGTTGAATGAAGAGCACGCAAAAATACATAAAAATCGATATGAACAAAAAGGTCATTATGACGTGAAAAAAACAGTGAACCTCTAACACGGAAATAAGAAATAATATGAAGATCTCTATTTTGTAGACATCCTATTTTTGATCTAAAATTAATTTAACTCAATGACCTACAGTATCTAATCTTTAAGAATTACAGTATAATTCGACTACAGTACATTGCTACTAGTAGTCCATTTCTACTAGATTAAAGCTAAAGTGCATGACAAACAAAAGAGCCTCTATCAAGTACTGGGATTGTAATATGCTATTAATGTATAGTACTGTCTGTATCATTAATATCTTATACATTTCTCTCAACATTTTGATTAAGGTTTTTTGCAAATTCTACAAATAATGGAACCATCTTTCTTATGGCCCATTTCCCCCATAGCAAACATGGAGTTTTCCATTCTGAAGTCTCACTTGCCAGAAGTCAGGAATAATGAACTTTCATCAAATACAAAATTGAGATCAAACCCACAGGCCTTGCCTATAGCTATATGGAGAGGAGACAGATTCACTTATGAAAGATGTGTGTGTGACAGTAAATGTCTATACCTTCAAAAATAAAAACAAATAGTTGCTCACAATGAAAACCTGCTTAAAGGGAAATAATTCAGCAAATGTTGAAAACAAAGAAGAAGGCAGAGAGATCGATTTTAGCTGTCTAGGGGAAAATGAAATGATCAATCGCTTCTTCAGTTTTTATTATAACAAGAAATCTTACAGCAATACCCGAGGTGCTTTATTGTCTAAGACGGAAGTATTAACATGCAAAACTTTCATTAACATTTAAAATGTAATAGTAAAACCCATAGAATAAGACTTCCATCTCTTATCGGAAAGCTTCTCATACTGGTGAGGGATGCAGCAAAGAGGAGCTTTTCTGGAAGTACAATGAGTTTAGCTCTGCCTTCTCCCACTGGGACTCTATCCCTGTCACTTGCAGCTCTGGGCTCATACAGCTCTGCCCTCTCCTGTCGGGACTCTATCCCTGTCACTTGCAGCTCTGGGCTCATATAGCTCTGCCCTCTCCTGTCGGGACTCTATCCCTGTCACTTGCAGCTCTGGGCTCATACAGCTCTGCCTGCTCCTGTCGTGACTCTATCCCTGTCACTTGCAGCTCTGGCCTCGTACAGCTCTGCCTGCTCTACTTGCTCCCCTCCTCAGGCAGCAGACAACTCCGCCACTCCGGGCTGTCTGGATCCCGGAGTGGGATTAAGTCACTTCTGTAGCTCACTCAGTGCACTGAGCGGTTACAGAAACATGCTGTAGGATGCCATGTGGGATGGGGAGCATCTGGTCTTCTCTGGAGGGGTTGGCAGTGCCTTGCAGGGCCATGGAGAAGAGGACAGTTTAGAATACCCAATCCAACCTAGGGTTAGGGTTAGCGTATCTTTAGGAGCTGGGGCAGAAACCAGAGCCGCTGATGAAAACCCACACAAGCACAGGCACAACCTCCAAGCTCCACACATGCAGCCACCCGTGGGTCGAATTGAACCCAGGGTTCTGCAGCCACAAGGGAGCCACGCTAACCGCTAAAGCACATCGCTGCAGTACAAGATATACAGTACACACTGTACTAAAGACTCACAGAGCTTGGTGGATGACCCTGGATTTCTCCAGAAGATATTCAGAGATCTGGGCTCCAACCACAGTACCACTGCACGTGAACTTCATTTCCAGGTATTTGCCAAACCTGCTGGAGTTGTCATTTATTACAGTGCAAGCATTTCCAAAGGCCTCCACTAGATTATTCACTAAGAGGATCTTTTCTTGAAGTGTTCTGTTGTTGGCCTATGAAGAAAAAAAATATCAGAGAAATAAAAAGCAAAACTGAGTAGAAGACTTGAAGAAGATGGTATTTTGAGTAGGGAACTCATCTTTTCATTTGTTTGCTAATGCGGCATTCAATTCCAGTCTGGAATACATCAATACTGGAACACAGTCAGTTCTAGTTTCAACAGATTGAGATATTCTACAGTATTGAATCAATGTTGCCTGGTGCACATTTTCTCCAATATGTATAGGTCAGAGTGCACATGTGTACAGGGAAAAGCTGGTTAAATTAGCGTTTGGCTTCAAACAATTTAAAACAATATAATGCTTTTGTCCTGGAAAATCTAAGACGGTCTACATTTTTTTTTTTACATGGCTTGGTCTACCCTATCAGAGCTGTACCTTCCCAAGGACTGTGAGCTGCTGAACAAGGAGATGGGCACTCTCTGTCTTGCCAGCACCACTCTCCCCACTGATAACAATGCACTGAAAGAGAAGGACCAAAACAAAAATCCCAAGTCACTGTTGTTGTTTTGTTTTTCACTTTAAACCACTGTATGTACGACTCCAGTTTATTGTTGATGGATATATTCTCTACCTGATCTGCACTGTAGGACACCATGGACTGGTAAGCTATGTCAGCAACTGCAAATATGTGTGGAGGATTTGCTGTGCGTTTGGCCCCAATGTAGATCTTTGAGCACTGTAACAAGAGAAAGTGAACAATACATAACGAAGTCACACACGATGCAAACCAAAGTTAAACCAAGTTCTGTCTTGCCCAAAACTAAAATACTGATGCTGCTTAAAAGTAACACAGAACAAATTGAGTGTAAATGGAGTTAAACCCCTCAGCAGTTTTTTAGCGAGATGGTTCATTGAGTGATTAAGTCAAAGCTAATGAGATGCAGCATCCTTTGAAAAGAAGGTTTAATAAATGGCTGTGGAGAACTTAAAACAAACCTGAGGGGTGTAGATATCCATCTTCTGAAAAGGATTGACTGCGATAAGGATATCTCCCACGTAGGTATAGATCTGGCTCTTGGAATAACGTTTCTGCAGCTGCTCTGCAACAGTGTTCTGATAAGAAACAAAAGTCATTTGAGCTTTTTAGTTGAATTTAAATTCCAAGCTGTATGTGCCTTTCCTTCATGCTTCTTTTTTATATCTTTAAAAGAGTGTTGTTGATTTCACAATACCCAAGACATGTTTTTATGCGTCAAAATATGCCACACAGACTAGTTTAATAAAACAATGCTACTTCATGTACCACAGCTTTGATTTACTCTTTTGTAGTGATTGTCAGAACGTGCATTATGGAAGGAAATAACTACAATCCAAAAAATGATCCTTAAAAAACAAATGCTGTGACTTCATCAGAAACGGTCATGGTCATCTTTAAGAGCAGATAGGAGTTTTTTTTAACAGACATTAAAGAAAACTGTCAGCAGACCAGAGGAACAAAAGACTACACAATTCTAAGTGATAAAAAATGAAAGTTGATGAAAGTAAAAAATTGAGTGTGTCAAGAAGAGATAAGCATTTATTGAAATGTCTTGTTCATTAATTAGAAATGTATAGTTTAAGCTCCATTATAACACATATTGACTGAAAAGCATAATCAATATATTTTTAAAAACCTGGGGAAAAAATTTTTTAAGGCACAGTGCTAGCCATAGTTCGTTGTTAATATAGGTTTAGGGTAGGTGAATGCAAAACTTCTTTCAAAAACACAGACACTTCAGGCAACTGCGGAATCCATTTATAATCTGTGCAGAACACACCTACAGTAACAATGCTAACAATGAAAATAACGAATGAATCAATGAATAAAAGCTAACAATAAAAAAATAACAGAAAACACTGACACTGATGCCACACTCAACACAGCATGGAAATGATAAAGTATCCTATCTTTTTCTTGTTTCTGTTAGATGCCTGCTGTTAATGTACTTGCCCCTGTCTCTCGCTGTTTGATATAATAGAGGCTGTGTGAGGCAGGCTTAGCGTAGTTCCCATCATTCCAAGGGCATGGAATCCTTAATGAGAACATTTTTAAATAATAATCCAACTCATGTGTTGATAGTGCCATAATGAAGGATGAGAAAACATTTGAGAGTTACAGATGATTCATGAGTTTCAATATTTCTATCACAGTAAGATGGATTGTATATTCAAGTCATTCAGGTTGTTTGATTTTATTTATTCAGCACGTCACTTGTCAGCTGATGAATGCTTGCTAAAAATATATCAGCCCACAATATCTTTTGAAAATAGTCTTTATTGTGACAATTTTATACCAAAGAGCTGACTGTTAGTATGACTATAATAAAAATTACATAGGATATATACTGTAACATAGGCATATTGCAGGACTGAAACTACAAGTTTTCTAGCAGTTTGATTAAAGTAATTGCAAATTCTACAAACAATGGAACCATCTTTCTTACAGTCCATGTCCCCTATCGCAAACATTGAGTTTCTCATTCTGAATTCTCACTTGCCAGAATTCAAGAGTGATGAACTATGATCAAATACAGGTAAGTAATTGAGATCTAACTCACATGCCTTGCCAATAGCTATATGGAAGATAAGATTTATTAGCCATATACAATTTCTTGCATTAGGAATTTGTCTTTTCACATACCCCAGCTTGCTTTCCATGAGACACAGAGACAAGGACAGAAGCTTGGGGTCAGAGCACAGGGTCAGCCATTTATACAGCACCCCTGGAGCAGCTGGGGTTAAGGGGCCCAGCGGAGCAGGATTCCACTGCCAGCCACGGGATTTGAACCAGCAACCTTCCAGCTACAGGCACAGATCCTTAGCCATAGTGCCACCACTCTGCCTGGAAAGGGGCTGGATTCACTTATTAAAGTTCAGAGTGTGACATTTTGAAAATGGGGAAAGTAACAGGGGTAATAGATTAAGAGGAGACTGTTATCATGACATTGCTCTCCAGACATTCAAGAGTATGCAGTGTTCATTGGCACAGTGCATTGGCGATGGCCTGCGCAGTGTGGACTGGGCTCTCAGAGATATGCATGAAACTGTAGCTCAAATCCAGGGCCACCCATATACAGTACAGGCTGTTTACATGCATTTCAGATATTGTATAGATCAAGAATATTCAAAAATTATATATTTTCAAATTACTGTAGTACGATAAACCAACAGCACATCTTATCGTCTCACAGAGAGTGTAAAGAATAGAATTAGCACAAAGTTGTCATTGATCATGTTATTTCTGAGTGGGTGAGACAGTTGGATAGTAGTGAAATAGTTCTCTGTATTGTGTACGGCTATGTTTCTATAGGGTCGGGCAGAGGAAAAGAAGGGATTCAGTGGCTGGGGTACGAGAAAGAATCCATTCATTAGTGCAGGCTACTAAAAGATCCTAAAAGCCAAGATCCTTTTTCTACATTCGGCCATTTGGTCAATTGAGTTACAATTTAATTTGTTAATCTAATTCGTTAATAGGCCACTAATTCGTTAACAAAAGTGATGGCGAGGAGAAAGTCAACACAAGCATTGCAGTGAGTCGTCTGTAGCCAGAGTGTCGTGGCTCTTGAAGGAGACAACAAAGCTTCAGAGTTTACAAGAACAGAACACAAATTACACATGAATGGAGGCCCTTTAGACAGAATTAGCTAGTAGCGAAGTCATCTCAGGATTTCAGTCATTTCTTGAAAGAAATCAGAGTATGAAGCTTTGTCAACGTAGACATCTCCCATTATAACTGTTTCACAAGTTGGGGAATGTTCATAAGTGGGGAAACTTTCAGGAATATCAAGAAGTTAACGAGGTCAACTGAAAATCTAAATGCAGTTTTGCTTTTCTATTAACAGAATACTTGACATAGATAAAAAGACTGTAAAGTGCACAATAATATTGCTTTGGGTGACACTCAAAGCTCTTCTCAGTGTTGTTGTAAAAGCAGCACTTTGGTGGTGATAAAAAATGATAGAAGATTTAAAAATCTGTTACTTATTTATGCCTCTATAGTTCTGATACTCTGAATACAATGATGAATATGTATACATTAACAGATAAGACGAAAGTCACTTTGTATAAAACATCTAGCAAAATAAAATAAAACAACCAATTTTGATAGAAAATTATGATGTTAATGATTTTAATTTTTAATCAATCTCTTTTCACTGTGCAGGCCACATCATTAGCCTACAATCTGCATGTTTAAAAAGCAGATTTCCTGCATACGTCATGTGTGCTATACATGGTTAACTAGCACAATTTGAAACACTACACTTTAATTACTTACTTCATCGAGCACTTCTAAAGTGGCCAGGTCATCCACATTGTCCAGGTTGGAACTTTGGGACTTCATGTAGCTGCCTTTTTTGGTATGAATTCGCTCATGCCTAGAGAGAAAAATAAATCACTCTACATTATAATGTATCCACTTCATACTTTTTTGTACACCCTATTAGCTCTTGCACACGCAGTCAGATCATGAAAATGATAAATCGAACTTTATCTTGCTATTTATAATGTTCCTCTTTCCTGACCTTTGTTCTGTAGGCTCTCCCATTAAAGAAAAAAAACATGAAAAAGAGCTCCTAAGATGAATGTGATGGGATAATTACAAAGAAGCTTAACACTATTGAAATCAATGAAGCATTGTATTGTTTGTGTTTGTGTTAGATGAAGGTCCTTTGCTATAAGTTACTGAAAAGTTCCAGAGGATGCAAAAAAACAAAAACAAACAATTACAGCTTTAACAAAACTACTGTAGTGGAGTGGAAACGATTTAGTCAAGAAAGCATTTTTCTCTTTAGGTTAGATTGGGAAACTGCATTAGTGTGGAGCTGAATAAGTAGAGGCTAATTCTCTAACACTCTCTTTTTTCTGCTCTTCTCACCCTCCACTAAGCCTCATTTCCCTGCTATCTCCCTCACTTCACCACACACCTGAAAAAAGGATCCAAAACATTGCTTTACTTTATCCACTTATTTTCCATCTTAGAATTAATCTCTGCTGGTTCCAGTCTAATTTTTCTTTCGTGACTCGGGAGTCATGCAATGGGAAATTACTGCCCAAGATCTTACATGTGACCTGATCTGTTTTAGCAACCTAAATAAAAAAACAGGGTGTTGGGTGTTGTTTCCTCTCTTTTCCAACTCGTTACTGGAGAAGACTTACACACCACATTGTGTTACTTGCACAGCTTATACACACTTCCGAATTGTGTAAGCTGGCAATGGCTGTACTGTCCAGGAGATTTTGTTTTGGTAATTTGTTCCTATTAAATTCTGATAGCATTTCGTATCAACAGCTGAAATGTAACATACAACTCTATTATTACATTCCCTTCATTTATTTGAGTCACCCCTTTTGAACCTATGTTTGTAATTTATTATGACTGCGCTGGTACAGTATTGCTTACAAATGAATCTGAAGTCTTGGGTAAAACGAGAACAAATCTAGACTTTTACATAGACACAGGAAAGCATTTTCTACTATTTTATTCGATTTGAAAAAATAAAGAACAAACTGGAAATAAAGCAGTTTGCACTGGATTCACCTACAGACCCCTAAAAAAAAAGCCTAAGTTATATACAGTACTTGTATTCACCTTACTTTTGCTGTCAAAAATCCATACACAAGAAGATTTTACTTGCGGTGCATGTCAGAGTGGTTCATACCTATCGTCAGCTTCTTTAGTTCACACTGAAAGTGACTTCTTCTTCGTTTTTAGATTTACAGGTTGTAGTGAGCGGCTAAAGTTCAATGAATGGTGAAGTAATAAATGTAAATATCATTTTTGGTGCAAATGTGAGTTGAATACAAACACCTAAAAGCTGGTTATAACTAGATTATAAGGAATTATTCCTAACAGCCACTGTTACTATTAAGACTAAAGTCTATGCAAGAAGGAAGCAGTCATCTGAAACTAATAAGGGCCCCAGGCTTATTAAACAACATCAAGATAAACATATAAACATACCTTTCATTACTGTCTGTGAATCTCTCTGAGTGTTTTCCTTGTTCTCTGTGCACAGAAAATGAAGGATTTTTTTCCTTTCTTTTTACTAATGATGAGATACATGGGTTTCCTATCACATTCAGGATATCACATCATATGCATACTGCCTGTTTAGCTACCTATGACATAATAATAATTAGATAGCACATGTTCACTTTCTGTTATGCACGATATCCCTATGCTGTATATCCTATCCTACCCATGAAGCAGAAGTAGGACTACACCCTGGACCAAATACCAGTTCACTGCAGTGGTGTGCACATACTGTATAGGCAGAAGCAGACGGCTGCAATTCTGAGATAACTAAACCGACCAGCCTGCCTTTAGAAAGTGGGAAAGCATCTCAAGCACCTAGGGACAACCTTGAAAACACCACAAAAAAGCCTATAATGGAACCCAGGACCAAAAAGATATGAGGAAATAGCAAAACAGTCAAAACAGTGTTGCCCTGATATTTATGCGAATATTTTTTATGTATTTAAACTTTGCATCTGCTTTTGACTGATGGTCAGCCATTCTAAAAAAAACATTTTATTGTTCATCCATTTTAGATTTTCTTGCAGGAAAAATCACAATCTATTGCAAATTTGTCTACTGGATTTGCAAGGCTACATGTAGCCCTTAAAAAAGGTGATTACATCATTTTTTTACACTGTGCCATTTCATTTAGCCTTTCTGAGTAAAATAGTGCTTTAATGTGTAAAGAGAGCATGTATAAAATGACACTGTAAAAATAACCTACAAAAGTGCCCATTGTGAATGTCTATAAATTGTATTTCTGAGCATGTGTGTTAATGAGCAAAAAAACATTTATCATTCATTTGACACACGCAGTGGACACATCCAGGCAAGAAGAGATGTTTTAGTCCACTATAACATAAGACAGGTTAGAAAAAAGTAACTTATTTATAGCTATATAAATAAGTATATATATTTATTTCTTGAAAGAAGCCAGAATATCGACTTCAGCAACATATCTGGACAGTTTGTTCCATATTCTCACAACCCTTTGCATAAACTTTAGTTAACTACTGGGCTCATCAGAATTTAAATTTTAATAGTTATTATACTGTGCTACACTAAGCTGAATAAACTGAAATTTACAGTAAATAAAATAGCTGCATGTGTGAAAACAAAAATGCCCTTGTCTTATTAAATAACTTTTAAAAAACATTCAAAACGGTAAATAGATTTTCCTTTACTTTTCCATAAAAGACAAACTGAATACTGAAAAACAGTCAAAAACACATATGAAGAAAAATATCTGGACAGGCAGTGAACTGGGGGCTAAAATTAATCTATAGGAGATAAGGAATAACTGAAGTCAGATGTGATACAGAACATGTATTTACAGTATAAATTTCAAGGACTAGAGCACATACTGTATATCTACATTTTAATTGAAAATATGCATGTTTCGGAATATACATGCTTCATACAGGCTTCTTTCTTAATAACAACATCGTAAACTTAGAAACATTTTTCAGACGTTAGCAAGTACAGTTGCAGGCATAAGTATTGTCATTCTGTAATTACAGAACATCTCAGCAACCTCTTGCTTGCACTGTATGAGTGCTCTTGCTTGCACTGTAATATTTACAGTAGAGCATACAGCAAATGCATTAATTACCCCTGCATGTGCTGACATTTATGTCCATAATGGCACCCAAGGTCAGTGAATATCTGTTATGTGTTATCAGGACACAATCTTAAAAAATATCTAACTTTCTTACACTTCAATATTTAAAAAAACAATACATTATAGATTAATATAAATAATCAATTAATTAATAAAATAAGTCTCTGGGGCACAGTTCTATCCTGTTTAGACATAATGCTGCTTCAGTAAAAGCAAAAAATGTAGTATTACCCCTCAAAAATCCAATAAACCTATTTCTGCAGTACATACTGTACTTGTTGAGGTATTTGTCTGATACATATTCCTCTCAGTCTGCAAGGTTGTTTTCCGATTCGAAACCAGCCTGTTGTTCTGATAGTAAAGGCTGCTGCACTAGTCAAATGGAGTACTGTTCTGTACCTCGTCTTCTCGATGACTCCCATTTGCTGATGGAGGTCAATGAGCTCCATCAGCTGCATTTGTAGGATCTTCTCTTTCCCCCCAATCTGCTTGATAAAGGCATGCTGAAGAAGGTCAGGAACATGGGGTCGCTGCTCAAAGTCTTTAATCAGGCACCTTTTTGAACAGAAGAGCACAGACATGAGAAATTGTAAACATTACCAACTGAGCGCTCACGGTACATATCACACTCTTCTTTAGAGCGAGGCCAATGTTGTTGCTGTACTCTGAAGTTGCAGTTCTATTTTTGAAAATGAAACTGTACATAATGGCTCAGCAAAGTGTAGGGGAAGATAATCAATCATGTACAGTGTATATTTAGGTTTGATACAACAATTCACTATTTGGACATACTGTATAGAAAATTATGGATCAACAATCATATGTCCGAGGAATGAAAATGCATAAGGCTTCTATGGTGAAATAGAAAGGAACAAAAATGAGTCTTTAGTACTTCATTCTAAAGACATGCAATTTCTAGAGACACACCAAATTTTAATGTGGCACAGTGGCATGTGGGCTAGTGCTGCAGATTCTGCAGTTTTGGGGCCTAGATCAGATTCTGGGATGCCTTGTGTGGAATTTGACAGTTCTCCCCATTGCTGTGCGAGTCGTTGCCAGGCACTTACCGTAGGTAACCTTCCACAGTTCAAACAAATGCCAATTGACGTTTCTAAACTGTCCCCCCGCACACCATGTGTGTGCAACCTGTGATGGTCTGGTTTTTGAAAACAGGTCAGTGTGCAGAGCAGCGTGGAGCAGTGATTAGGGGATCTGCACTCCTAACTGGACGGTTGTGAATTCAAATCCAAGTTGAGACACTGCCATTGTACCCTCGAGCATGGTACTTCACCCAAATTGCATTGGCCAAATAAGCAAATGGAAATAGATATCAAATTATACTGGCTACACTGTCATTTACTATATCTTAAATGCTGAAAACATTTTCTCTGTCATTCATTCTGTATCTATGCTACTATTAAGTAAAATACTGCTATTGAATTGTAATCTGGTGAGGTGCCTCAGAAACATCAGAGGGTTACTACAGGGATCGGTATAAGACTGCTGCTCGTCCTTATAAGTGACTTAGTCTCAAGTAGAGCCTATTGCTCCTGAAATGTGCAGATAATTGAGAAGTATTGGAGTTATACTGTACATACTTTGCAAAGGCTCAAGCAATACAAGAGGATTTACACATTATTCTAATCTGGAAAAACACCAGGAAAAAAATCAACAATGACATAAAGTAAGAAACATGTACTGTAGGACTGACAACAGGAAATGGTTTTCATGGACAATTATTGATGTTTTGAATAAGCTAAGAAATTAGCTTATTGACTCCATGGGATCAAAAATATCGATAGAAAGATCTCCTGAATAGCTTTTTCTTAAGTTCTTATTTGTGTTTAGCACAAATAAGCAATCAATGCAGGGGCTGCATTTAATTACTTGATTTGAGACAATAGTAATACAATGACTGTGAATTATTTTAATTCTTCAAAACCTGATGTTTATCATCATTTCTGATGTTTATGTTATCCCTTCAGGATGTGCCTACATCCTGGTGACAATTTATCACTTTTACAAATGAAGATGAATGATTCTTGCAAAAAAAAAATAGAGAGCATAGAATGATTTAACAATTTCACCATTAAGGTAAATGTGTGAAGCTGTGTTGGTCACACAAAAGTTACACAGACAAAAGACCAGAAAAGACCATTTTCGTAATTATACCTCTTAATCTGTACAGTCAAAAGCACTCACTTGTAAATAAAGTCATTAAAATCCGCAGACCACAGCTCTGGCTGATGAAGGGTTGGAGGTGGATTTCTGTGAAGATCAATTCATAGATCAGTTTGAACAGTATCTACACAAAGAAATCACAATGTGTAAGGTGCTTAAGAAAAACTGAAATCAATTCTTTCACAGCTAAAAGGCTTGAGATAAAACTGTGCTTTGTTCTACTCTGTTGCCCTTCTAATTATTCAGAGTGCGAGAAAAATCAGTATGTTGAGAGAAAAACAAGTTTAGCTTAATGTCCTGTGCATTGCTTACTCAGCTTCTAAAGTTATCAACACACCATAAGCTATTAATCTGCAGCCACACAGACTTTCAGGTTATCGGTATTGAGAAAACATGTAACAAATGTTTTTTTTTGTGGAAATTAGTTCCCCAAAAAGTAATTCAACTTTTTTGAGCAAACAAAACTTACAAGACAATACCCTCTAAGGAACAATATTATTCCTATTCTTTGATTGAATTATTTAAGAAAGATCCTGTTTCATCTTCAGATCACCAAGTACTACAGAATGGTGAAAATAATTGTGTCTGTGTGTTTTTTCTGTCTGCTAAGAGTAGTTAATTATGTTAATGGAATGCATCTCTTAGATATCATCACATTTAAGACTATATACTGTAGATACATACAAGTATATGAAATTACTAAATGGAATTTGTTTTTCACATTTGGTTCAGAACCTGACTTGTCTGCTGGTCCCCAAAAGGTAACTAAACCTAAAATAAAATAAAAAAAAAGTTCAAATGGTGGTACTTTTCCTAAACAGAATAAAGTGCACTATCTACAGTATGCTCAGTCATTAATAACAACCTTTAAAAGTTTTAGGTAGATTAAAACATTTCTGACCGAGTTTATTGCACATTTCCCATGCCTTCATTTTTAAAATACATGATGTTTTGTCTTTTTGTTGAACATCATTACTGGCTGCAGGATGTTTAAAATCAATGTTTATGGTATTCTATCAGAAAAGAAAAGAACTGGAATAGTTCAGGATACAAAACAAGAAACCAACAGCAATATTTGCCCAAACTTTCAAGATTCACATCTCCATGTATACCAGGTTAAAAGAATTTGAAGTGATTTTGTCATATTTATCTGCACCCCTTTGCAAAAAATGCAACAGATATTGTATACATGCCTGAGATTTAATTCCCCAACATAATCATTTAAGAAAGATGTATAAAATAATCAGAAATTACTTCCTAGTAAATGCAAAAAAGTTCTAGGAGATACAGTAGTAGGTGATTTTTTTTTTAATGATTGTGTCTAAAACAACATCTGACCAGCTTTCTATACTTGTGATATAAACACTAACCACATCAGACTAGCACATCAGTAAGCACAAACTGTATATGTAATACCTTGCATTACCCAAAGAAGCGATCAAAACTGCTATTCTCTTTACTAACACAACAAAATAAAGATAAAATAACCTTTGTCTTCCAAGACACCCTTTTATTTTCTCATATAGAAGATCTTGTACTGTTGTTTGTATATTTCATTTTCTATGGTTTTATAATGAGACTGAGGGAGAGCACAATATCACTCTTCATGTTGACTTGAACGTTGCAAATAAGGGCAGACTGTTCATCAGTTTGGCCTGTTGAGTTCGCTGGACACTTCAGTAGCCAGTAAATCTAAAATTTCCTCCATCCATCCATCTTGTGCTGGAGCGCAGAATTTGGGCCTCAACTACCAAGCTGGGAAGATGTTCCAGACACCGTCTGCTCTTTGTATAAAGATATGTTTCCTGTTCTCTCTCCTAAATCGGTCCCCATGTCCTTTCACTACTGAGTTAAAAATAGCCCACTGATGTGGTTCCATTTATACCCCAAAGCTCTTCCCAATCCCCTTTGTTGTAGACTGAATAGATTAACGACCTATAACCAGTGTGTTTAATCCACCCCCAGACCAGGACTCAGGGTAAAGCTTTATTTTTAGGAATCACCATGCAAGCCATGTGTTACTTTTTCAGAGGTGGTGTATCAGTTCTTAAATGATGGACAGCACCCTTATAAAGGTTAGCTGGGTACGTATTACATTTCTTTCTTAATGTATACAATCCAAGTTGCCCACTTAGTTCACAGAATGCAGGTCTTCTTCATATTCCACACATTGATAAAAAAACAAACAGTTGGCGGTAAAGCCATGAGTTACAGGGCCCCTAGCTTATGTCTCCCACCCCATGTTCGGGATGCCAAGTCAAGCTCAGTTTTCAAATCCTGACTGAAAACCTATTACTTCAGCCTAGCCTACTCACACCTTACATTATAGCCTGCTGCAACCATGGCTGCTGGTGCTGCTGTGCATGCCATTGTGTGTCTCTGTGTTGGCCCACCAGGAGATACATCTGTTCTGACCAAACTATCCTATTCTCCTGCCCACATGTCCGGATGGCACCCAGGCTGGGCACCATCTGAGTTGGAAGCAGCATCACTGCCATGGATCCAAGAGGGACGTCGGGGATATAGCTATCGTTTAGGAGGATTATGCCGGTCAACAGAGATTTGCATGGAGTACTGACACACAGAAGACATGATGGATGGATTAATACCTTTATTCATTTTTTTCCCTTTTTTTTATTGTATAATGTTAGCATGCCCAAAGGGGTTGGGCAGCCAGTTGACCAGTTGAGGTTTTTTTTCTCCTTACTAAGGAGTTTTTGGTTTCTCTCCTCCGTTGTCTTCTGGTCTTTTCTGTTCTGTATTCACAACATGTATGGTCACTTGCTTTCTTAAGCGCCTTTGGACAACCTTGTTGTGAAAGGTGCTTTATAAAAATAAATTGAATTGCACTGTTGTGTTTCAAGAAGTAAAGACTCAAAGAATGTCAGAGCTGAAGTAATTAAACAGATCAGATCAGTAGTAGGGTACAAAATAACACTTAAGTCTCTGAATATTTCTGTAAACACAGATTACTCAATCCTCTCAAATAAAACGCACTAACTATCAGTTAGTTTAGTGTATAAAATATATATCTAATAGTATATAGTACATTGCAAGATATTTTACTTTGATAAACATTTTGCCTGTTTTCCAAGCCACTTTTTGGAGAATGGCAAAAATCCTACTGAAACAGGATGCTGGTTTCCTTTATCGGAATACATTTTAATTTCTATAATTATATAGGGGATTCACAATAATTTTTTCGGTTCCGTAGCTCTGATCCAACTCAACAACAACTTCAAAAAACACACACAATTTGGATTCAAACAAAAAATTGTGACTCTAAATGTTATATATACAGGCATCTGTCTGCAAAAATATAGCCTGATATTTGAGTCATTGGATACAGATAGTGTACAATTACCCAACACATTGCGAATCTCCTGAAGGGCTTTTTATGCAAGTGGTCAATTAAAAGGTATCATAGTGTTTAAATAAGACCGAGTAATGCGAAAGTAAAAAGGGCAATAGTTCTCATAGTTCTTCCATGGCTTTACCAATCACTGGTCATGAATCTCATACCTTATGAATGATATCTGCACAATCCCCACTTAGCCCATAACCTGTAAATCATACAGTGTTTCTATGTTAATACAGGTACATTAAGCCACAGTTTTGACCAGTTCTGAAGGTTTGGCTGACACAGTGCTTGAAGTGGTTGTTGATTTCAACTTAATATGGTTAGTAGAGTGCTTGCTTCATTGTAAATTTATCATCTTGCCTTACGAGTCAAGATTATATTTACATTATAGCATGTATGGGCATGTATGAAGAGGAAAATTGTGCTCCAAGTGTTAGGGTTACAAAAACACAATACTGTGAGCTCTATTAATATTATGGTCCTGATGGAAACGCTTAAATTTAGAGAGTGTGAAATCCAGATTGACTGTACTGTAGGTTAAAAATGTAACTTCACAGTAATTGTCCTCTTTTTGTCTGGGCTCATACTGAATACTGCATATCTCTCATACAAGACTTCAACAAAATATCTCAACTTACTTTGTTGAATCTTTAAAATTAGTAGAAAACTATCCCTAACCCTAACTCCACCTTCCACCCTTTCGAAGTTACCCAATTGTACAAATTGACTTTTAAACGCTTATTACTCAAGATAGGGTTGCAATGGAACTGAATTGTCACCTTAAAATGTTTAGTACCATGTTTGCTTTATTGCACATTTATCATCTTGACCTACCAGTCAATTTTGTATTTAGATTAAACCACGTTTTGTAATTGTATGAAGAGGAGGGCTGTGCACTGGGTGAAGAAAAGGTTAGGGTTATAAAAAATTAAAGGTCCGATTGACTTTATTTTCATCTTTAACTTCAGTGTAACTTGTATCTCTGATATTCACTGACCTCATACTGGATTTATACCTAAAACCAGACTTTTTAAATTCAATGGAGGATAAAAAACACTTAATCCATAAACATATTCTATATTAAATCATTAATATTACTTTGTTGGATCTCTCTGGTAGGATAACTAACTCTAACCCTACAGTAGCTCCACCCTAAAACTGTCCCAAGTCCAAATTATTTTACAGTCATTGGCTTACATACTGTAGATTACTGTAAATAGGTGGAACCTATAGTCCATGTTTTCCTTCTACTGTTGAGAGGGAACAACAATACGTTTCCAGCAATAACTTTCCTACAGTACCTGTAGTCTATTATTTGTACAGAAAACCTCAACAAAATTCTTGGTTAAATAAAAACACCACTCTTTCTATAAATGTGGCCCAGAATGAATCATCAATATTACATTGTTTGATCTAACCTTTTCTCTGCCCTAAAACTTCCTCATGTCCAAAGGGCTCTAAACCTTTAATTTCCCTTTGTTGTGCAGTACAACCGAGTTGATTATTCAAAATACGATTGCACAAGACCTAATATGCCAACTTTGGATGATTTGGACATGAGGAAGCTTTAGGGCAGAGATAAGGTTAGACCAAACAATGTAATGTCGATGATTCATTCTGGGCAACATTTATAGAAAGAGCGGTGTTTTTATTTAACCAAGATGTGTGTCTCATGGAGAGCAAGCTGGGGTATGTGAAAAGACAAATTCCTAATGCAAGAAGTTGTACAGTATATGGCCAATAAAGTGATCTTATCTTTGTACAGTGCTTAAACCACTGCAAATATATCACTTTTTCTTTGCCTTGGGAGTCCAGCACACAACACAAAAGAACAGTTGTGCTCCTTTTTTCTAGACAGTAGCCTTTAGAATATTCAAATGCAGAATCTATTCCACCTTGGTTATTTCCTACAGGCATAGCTCAATGTTCTTATTGCACATAATATGCACACCTATTCAAAATTCACAGCTTTTACAAGCCTTGTATTGTTGGTGTGGAATCATTCCAACTGATACTTCCTTTAGCTTATATTGTTTGTGTTCTGAAAACAAGCATCCATGTGAACAACATGTTATGGTAATGATACCTTTAAATCCCCGTGCTGTCTATTCAAGTCAAATCTCTTTTGATCTTCTGGAGTACTTTCAAAACGTTAAAACAACAAATTAATTCACTGACTAACAAACACAGAAGGGACTATGCTAGGATTCCTTGTACCAATAAAAATAAACGAGAAGAGCAATTCAAACAAGTGTTTACAAGGCTTATTGTAGGGGAGTCGTGAATGCTGTATGAATGCAACCTGATGAGTCCTCTTAACTGAAGCCCCCAAGCAGCACTGTAGAACAGCAACAATGGTTTGTGACCCAATTAGAAAGAAATGTCTCAGGCTTCAAACACTCATAATTGATACTGTTGTGCTGTACAGAATCCAAATATGAATGGATAATGCTTTAGCTTCTGAAACAGCCTGAAAAACAGATGTATTTTTATGGAGATGGTTCAGAATAATAAGAGATGGAACAGTTATCTAACAGATTATGTATTAACACTAAGCTGTACTAAGACAAACAAAACCATTAAGAGCCAGAATGTTTTCTGTTTTTTTTTAGAAAATGGGAGTACATTTCTAAGTGGTACTGTAGGGATTTTCAGTTATGAATGTTTTGTGTGTTATATTTTAAAGAAATGTTAATACAAATATTTCTTAATCTGGATTTCTCTAAAATAGGAAAGTCTTTACCAAAAAGTCTTTACAAAAATGTCAGATATCTTTACAACAGCAAAGGCTGTACAGATATCTTGGTTCCATTTAAAAAATATTTAAACAGGGCAGCACATAGGACAATAAGGGTAAGTTAATGTCTGTGCCTAATTTTTTAGACATTTCTTACCATTCTTTTAATCTTATTACAATCTTTACAAAAGAAATAAGAAAATAGAAATACAATTTTTTTGACTTTGTATAAAATGTTTCTGATAATGAATAAAGTTTGCAAAAGTTTTAAACTGCTATATTTTATCTACATGAGATTCACACATCATCAATTAGTGGCTTAACAGCTCACTAATTCTTTTTAAAGACCATTGCAACAGTTTAGTTGGAATAGGAGATGTATATTTTAATTGCCTTCAATTGTGGCTGCAATAGTGAATTTTCTTTTCCTTCACACACATTATAATAATTATACAGCATGTCAGAATAATAGGAAAGGTATTCACTTTTAAATACTTAAAGCCCTTCAGTGACTGTAGCGTACTGTTGTCTTTTCAAATTTGAACTGCATTGGAGACAAATTTAAGGAAACAGAAAATAATTTCAGACATCCCAAAAATAGCATTTACATTTTGTTGAAAGCTGAAATAGTTACATTACCGGTGGCCAAGTGCAGAGCATTCCAGACCTGTGCAGTGTGCTCTGTTAGAGTACAAGTCACAACTACAGTACAAGTAGAAAGTATCACAAATTGGGTGTGACTTTAAAGACTTTAAAGACTTTAAAACTAGAAAGAAGGAAGGAATCTTGACTCAACCCGTGTTTTTTTTCCCACTTGGGATGCTGGCTGGGGGTTTCAGCAGCAGAATGAGTCAGGGAAAAAGAAAAGCTCAGTAGCTTCCACAGAAGTTCCCCTTACTGGAAAGAATTTAAGTCGTTGAATGAAGTATGCGAAATACTCTTCGATAACTTGATTCACATTACCTTGGTATTTTAAAGAGAGCTCTCATAGGGTGAAGGTCAGCAAGCGGGGGGTCCCCGTCTCCCAGCTCGATTGCCGTGATGCCAAGGGACCACACATCACAGCGAGCATCATAGGTAGAGTCTAGCTGCTGCTCACATGCAATGACCTGGAGAGAAGGCAGAGGAGAGAGACTCCTTAATAAGCCCTGCCAGCATCATTCCACTGGTCTGAACTCCCTGAAGGGGTGGGCTGCCAACAGGCTTGTTTGAGCCGGCTGAAGGACTGTTCCAACAAGGCTCAGGAAAGAGCTGTCTGCTGAAGTTAAGGTGAAAGAGAGGGCGGGCCTCTCTTTAACCTTTACTTTTTAAGAGGTGCAACACTGGCAACAATGGAACTGCACATTCAGGACAAAACAAATGATGTAAAGCTATGCGTTTTCAGCGACGTGTAAAGCCTCACAATGATTCTTCAACAACACCCAAAACCAGATCGCTAGATGGGTAATCTAACCCCATGCTCATTGTGGCACTGTCATCTGCTTTGTCACTACATTACAAAATTCACTTCACAAAATTCATTCTCACAGATGCAGTATGTACTGGAAACTAAGTGCTCCAAAATCAAAGACTAAAATCCAGATTTGTTCAAGGAAAAGGTCAAAGTAGTCCTTTGTGGTTGGATCTCTTGCAAGACCGCATTTGACATTCTGAGTCTTTAAGTGCCGTGCATTATATGTTTCAATCACAGGTAATTACCGTATCACTAAACCACTACTTATAATATAATATATACTTTGTATAAAAACGATGCAAGATATCACACCCGATGAAGGCTCCACAGCCGAAACGTTGTTTCTTTTCTTCTCTTTTCAGCACGGAATAAACCTTTACTTGTTCCTTAACAATGCAAAATGTAGATCATTAATAAACAAATGCGGTTCAAACTTATAGATTTATAACACCAGTTTAAAATCTTTAACCTGAAAATAGTCAATTCTATTAATATAAATGCGTTTCATCCCTGAAACTATAATATGTACTACTGTATATTCTGGCTATCTAGTGGCCATCATAGTGAAAAGTAGACTAGTTAGAATGCCATTGTGGTTTTTTCTTATTCAGAAGATGGCAAAAGGTGAAAAATAGCTTTTTCAAGTATCTAAGAGTACGCTTTTATGTAGCAACAAACTGACATCTTTAAGTAGTGAAATCCACGAGAAAATTCACCACTTACAAATACAGATGAATCCCTGAAATATAGTTGCATAGTGATTCTTCAGAAGTACATACAGTAAGTACTGTATTTACTTACTACTCTACATTGTTGCTAAATTAAAAAAAAAATGTTACCAACTTCCAAAAGCTTTCTAATAAAGGTATGGTTAATTGTGTAGCTGTTAACATATTAGGAAACTGTTCATAATATTTAGCTGCTTACATAATAGTTTGTGTAATATACTTGTATAAAAATAACAATGGTTGATAGCTTGTTAGCAGTTAGAATAGTAATAATCTTGTATTTTTACATATAAAGAAAGATACAGTCAATAAACATTTTGACAGCTAATAAACAGTAAACAGCCACAATAAATATGCAGTTATTAAACTTCAGCTCCATCTGAATCTTGCTAGGTCAGCAACACTGAAACAAATCTACGGTATGTCACCTTAAATCTACTGTGAAGTTAAACAAACCTAAACAAACAAACAAAAAATTTAGAATTACTTTGGTCCAGCAAAGCTCCTCTTCTGAAATTCTTTCAGGATAAAGGTGCAAAAATCCACCAGTTACTTGTTATGCTCGTACTGTTCAGTTCGTAGGTTTGTGTGTTTACACAGCTCAGCCTCCAATAACATTATGGGAAATTCCTGAATCTCACACGCGGCACGTAAACCATCATCAAGATCCTTCTGTTCTTTCTGTGCATTCTTTGCTATGAAACACCTGTCGCAGTGTTTTGCTTTCTACTTAGTTTCTGACACATTATATCATACCCAGCTCCTCTCACTCTTGATTTTAATAAACAAAGTGTTTATGTAAACATATTCTCTGGTGACCTACAGGCGAAATCCTGCTTGATATATCTACTTACTGTAAAAACATCACCCAAGTTAAATATCAAAAAGGAATTTCTCTGCTTTTACAACAAATTAAAGCTTACATAAAACACATTCTTTCAGTGCTATAGCCAAAACCAAAAGCTACACAAAAGTTTAAAATCAGCAAACGGAATTTACCCTAACAAGCCTACAAGCTTTAACTTAAATACAGTACTTAATACCACAGGGTCGTTCTATGAATTACACATAAAAATTTGGAGGAGTGCATCACAGTTTCTTGTTAACTTTGAGTGCTTAATGAAAAAAGCATTAGACACGCACTGTATGTCTTGTCTAATGATTCTAAAGTCTGTTATATTACCAACGCTCTTTACTCTAAAAGGGAAAAAAGAATTTTCAAAACATATACATATGTAACTGTGGCAATCATTCTAATATACAGTAGTAACCAAGTTAGCTAATCAAGTTCTAAGTTCTACTAGCACTTAAGTTTAAATGTACAATAACAATCTCACAGCTGACAACATCCTGCTGTTAAGAGCCCACAACATGCAAGCACTGACCACATATTTCATGTACAAATCTGCCACAACAAGTCCATCTTATCTGGAGCCTTATGACACAACAAAAATCCACACTTCTGTTAATAAGTGTATTTATTCCACCACAGTAAGCATGTAACACTTACTCTAATCTTCAGCCATGAAAGTGACCACATATTAGAGCTGCAACACAAGCAGAAACACGGAGGAACTTCTGGGCCTTGCCCCCAGCAAGCAGTTTCTAAGGAAAACAACTTTCTGACTCAACAAGTTTAACACTGAGCCTGATACTTACCTCTGGTGCCATCCAAAAAGGAGTCCCCACTGAGGTGTTTCTACGGAGCCGGGTGTTTGTCAGCTGGGCAGAAACACCTGAACAATGCAAAAAAGCCATCTTTTCAGTTTGATAGATGTTCACGAAACACATCACATATAACAGAAATATCTGATACATTAAAAGGCAGCATTTAATGTCTTTGGACAGTCAAGATCTTTAAATGAGTAGTTTTAACCAGCTGTTTATTGTTATGTTTAGATGAGTGGCCAATGCATCCCAGGGTGATGCAGCTACAGTAGCTCTCATGCTATGGTGGTTTTGTAGGTTTGTTTTTTTTATATTTTGTTTTTGAAACAAATATGAGACTCTGACATAATGTATATTCTCCCATTTGTAAATACCTTATGAAAGTACAAGAGCACACACCCAGGTTATGTAGTTAAGAGAAGTTCCATGTTTTTCTTGAAATATGCTGACTTTGCAATGCATTGTGGTTATTGTAGTTGTACATCCCTTCCCAGGTAATTGGAATTTAAAGCCCGATGTAAATAGTGAAAATAAGAAGCCATACAGTAGGTGTTCTCTGCTTACCATTCATAATATTGAACTGCACCTTGCAAATATTGTTACTGGAACATATATTAATAAATTCATATTTCAAAGTCAATTGATTGATTGATTGTCTTTAAAATATTAAAGTAGTAGTAAAGTAAACATACAGTATGTCCATCAGGAAGAAAGTGGAGCACCTGCTGAAAACACATACGGTATCAACACAAGAAGACCTTGCAAACTCCATCCAGAAGGCAAGGAACTGTACAGTATCTGTCAATGATTCTAAAACCCTTCTTTGTGAAATTAAATTACTGCCATATAAATGAGAATTAGTATTTTCTATCTCAAAACAATACACTGTATTTTATACAGGATTTAATCCATACAGGATACATCTTCATAATACTAATGAAGACCAAAAATGAAGTATTTTCTGTTCTGCATAACACCTTCCTCTCCTATTGAACCTACTCTGACAAAACTCATGCATATGGTAAAACCGACTCTGATCAACCTCAGATGAAAATAAAAATTAGGAACTGAAAATGACAAGCTAAAATACCGGCTCTTAAAATGCAGCTAAGGGGTAATCCTAATTTAGGCCCACTAAATAAAGCAAGTGAATCACCACAAGACAGAAACATCTTTTAAATTACAACTAAATATTTAAAACGTGAATATTCTGGTATGAAAAATTTGACCTGAAACTTGGAACTTGTTAGTTGGTTTGTATTTTTCTGGAAGAGAAGTCAATTACAAAACTTAAAAACATTCCTTTTTTTATGCTTTGCTTTAAGTGTTTGAAAACCCCAAATTAATCTGAAATCCCAAAGAGATACAGAACATGCAACAGTGTATAACACAGGGCATTGATATGAGTTATGTGATGTGCATTTATTAACCACAACAGGGTGACGTGGGGTTTCAGATCTGAGAGTTAAACAAAGTGTGCAATTAGAAGATACCACATCTTTGCTGAGATTTTTTTTGTGAGCAGTCATTAACTACAATAATTTAATTCTGAGTTCCAACCAGTCAGGGAAATGGTACAACTATGGCTCAAAACCACTGTGATTTTTCTGAAACTCCCCACTTAAACAAAGTATATTTCAGCCCTGCCCACAACAAAACAAAACAGGGAGACAAATCAAATGATGCTATTTTGCACATGTAAATAGAGCACTCTTTTGAATGACAAATTGTTACTTATACTAAGGAGGTCCAACTGAGCACATCAAAGCGTTTGCATGGATGGCCTCAGAGTCACTTCTTGGAACAGGGTTAAAATGGAGCAACCTGATTTATGTGTTATACAAATGATCATACAAATGCTTAAAGGTCTATCATTTACAGTATATTTAAAATAACAATAATAAGAAGAATCAATCACATTTGCATGGCTTTTTTTAACCACAATGAAACCCAAGTGAAGTACTGTAGCACTATTTTCAGTGCCAGTCATTGGATACCAGCAGCCCTCCCTGCACAGGAGATGAGTAAAGAAGTCAAGCGGGGTCTTCAGATTGGCCAGGTTGTCAAAGCCTTGTGAGTAATTTAACTAGGACTATTATCCATACTCTTTCAAACACGACACAAGGTTTTCTGCGACTAAGAAATCAGGACCTCAGGTTTTATATCTCATCCAAACGCCACAGTATACAGCCACAGTCTCCCGTCTCAGGATTGACCAGACACTATCTGGCTTAGCTTCTGACATTTAATGAGAACAGACTTCCAGGCAGTAGCACTGCAATCAATACACTGGACATATCATGGCTTTATGTCCAAGATGTACTGTAGTTTTCACATCTCAAGTTTATATACAGTATAGAAACAAGAAATATGATCGTTACTTAAATGCGGATGAAGACAAAATGATGTAAATAAATTACTGCTGCCTATAGAAAAGGCATGAATGAAAGTAAAATCATCAGAAGAGCCTCTACTGTCATTGTATTGCAAATTTTCTGATGAAACTACGTTCTATTGTTACTTATTTCAGCTTCACATACTGTACAGTACCAAATTAAGTCCTGGAATGCTCCAGTCCTGCAGGTTTTATGTTTTTAAAAGTGGCAGAACCTGGAGAGCTGAGTCTGTTAACCTGCCCCAATTCAGGCAATAATTAATTTGATTAAATTGATAGCTCATTAAGTGTTATGCTGGAAAAAAAAAACTTGAAAGGCTACCCCTCTGCAGGACTGGGCTTGGAAACCCCTGTTCTAGTTATTTTGTCTCAGAATTTATTAATTTTATTGTTGTCCACAGATTAGTGGTCTCATCTCTGAGACCATGCATCTCTGAGCATGCTGTATGCATTTTGGTTACGATTGTTTGTTTCACTCTTCAAAAGTGAAAACAGCTGTAAGCACTCAAGCATTTTATACACTGAATGTTAATGTGAAGGAAGAACAACATTAGGGACGTTCTTGTTGGTTCCCTGGCCTTGAGCTCATTGAAATGTTATAGGATGCACTTTCAGTTTTTATATTACCGGACTACTTTTAATTATGCAAAAAAAGTATTGTAGGTGCCTGTCCTTCACTGTTTTCACCAAATTCAACAAAAAGACTCAAAGAAACCAGGATAGAGACAGAATACCAAAAGGCAAGATACAGTATCCTTTTAAAGAGAACACAACAGTTAAGTTTTTTTAAATTATTTCATCTTGTTGATGAAATTATTGGAATTATTTGGAGTGTAGCTTCCATAAACAAGGTTGGCTTATACAGTAGATGCTCAAGACATTTGTGAAAACACTGGGCCTTTTTTAAGTCTCGTGGTATAGTTACACTTCTTACATTACAGCCACACCTTTTATTTTGTTGTTCATGGAAAATTACATGGAGAAGCTGCATCGGTCATTTGAACATCCTGATTTGAATCCAAGCTAATGACCATGGAAAGCAGCAAAGTTCTGTGTGGGGACAAACTAGACTGTATTTGCAAACGTTCTCAGGTAACCAGTCCTTTTGATTACATGACAAGCATTTAATGCAGTCAAATGGCACTTAGATAAAAAGTTGACATTATTTTGCTTATAATTGCTTTCTCAGGATCTTAGCACATTTATTGTACCGCAGTTGGTCAACTGTGGCCCTTGGAGTTGAGTGTAGCTCATTGACTTTCCTTTATGCTCAGCAAGACACAGATAGAATAAATGATTTTATCTCTGTTTAAATAGTTTCAAAAGAAAAGCATACGCATTTGCTACAAGGCAGTCCCCCTCCCCCCCACACACACATGTGTGTGTATCACACAATTCACCTGGTACTGTATGTGAATGCCAATGAGTTGCATGGAAGGGTTAATCATTACAAAATACTTACAGTACATACCCACCATTAGTACAATAAAGCACATATCAGCACGGCTGACATTCTTCTTAATGGACAAATTTCTCAGAAGATAACTTAGGTGGATGACGGATCCAGTATTGGGCTGTTCAATATTTCACTATTCATTAAATCCATCCATTTATTTTCTAACCGTTTCTTCCCATTCAGAGTCACGGGGGAGCCAGAGCCTATCCTGGCAAGCAAGGGGCGCAGGGCAGGGAACACCCTGGACCGGACACCAGTCCATCACAGGGCAGGGTACACCCTGGACCGGACACCAGTCCATCACAGGGCAGGGTACACCCTGGAGCGGACACCAGTCCATCACAGGGCAGAGAGACAGACCAAGCACAGACACACACACTCAAACCAGGATCAATTTCCCCAAAAGCTAATTAAAACACCAACATGTTTTCGGTCTGAGTGAGGAAACTGGAGCTAATGGAGGAAACCCACACAAACACAGGGAGAACATAAAAAATCCACGCGGATAGCACCCCAGGAATTGAACCCCGGGCTTCAGTGCTCTGAGACAAACCATTTATTCAATAAATCTTAATATGCACAGGAACAAACAGCATAAGGTTAATTCCATACTGAAAATTTAAAAGCAAAAAAAAAAAGCAGTGTTCCAACCTTTTCAGTGCTATCTTATCCAGGTGTGAGGAAGAAAGATGAAGGGAGTAGAAATTCAAAGCAAAGTGTAATTGTAGCCTGGAGAGGTGAAGTGGGGAAATTCTGGCCTGGAAAGATTTCTGGTCTTCAGTGCTCTGACCTTGCCCCTGAAATGGTTAGCCAGTCTTCTTCCTGTAATCCTGGACATGATTATACTGTCCTTTCACAGTGAACCCATACTTCAATTTCAGAAGGACATCAGAAGCTCAATTGATCCTTAAATGAGGATCACACCAGCTACCATCTTTCAGTGAGCAAAATATTTCTTTTTAAACTATTCACAGATATCAGTGTCTCACTTTTTACTTCAAATTTGTCTCCCTGGCAATTACTTTGTACAAACCTTCTCACAGGTCAATCCTTGTCGTCCTTTCTCCAGGTAGGGGCAGGATAGCATGTTTCTAAATGTGATATTTTCTTAATTTTCTTTTTGTTATTGTGCACATTCCTTCGCGAAAACTGAGTACTTCACCCTAAGTACCATCAAGCCCCATTCTAACAATGCTAGAGCTCTGTCTTCCAAATGC